ATTTGCGGTTTAAGCGGAATTAATTAACATCGCGTAGAAATCGTATAGATTTAAAGAATTTTTAATAAGATTGAAGTATGCGCGGAAGTTTTGCCATAATTAATTCCACTGAATAGATAAGAATGCATTATTCATCTTCATTAAGAGGCGATAAATTAACGACTCGAGTTAGAGGATGTTTGCGAACAAATTTACAAGTGCTTGAAAATAAGTAGACACATACTCATATTAAGTACATTTCATAAATTAAATACAAATTTTTAATTTAGAGTTTACGAAAATAATTTAATAGTTAAATAATGAAAAATTGTGGAAAAATTGCTATAAAAAACGTAGGTATTCCAAATCAATCGATAAATTCTATGAATTCATAAAGAAAAAACGATAATTTTACGAAATTTTATACAACTTTTTAAATATTTTTAAAATAATTTAAATAACGTATAAAAGAGTAAAAATATAAGAGAAATAATTATATCGTTTATATTGTTATAGAAGGATAATATAATTGATGATACACGCAACGAGAATGTAAACTGATGGAAAAGTGAGTGTGTGTTGTATCATAAATTCTTGTAAAGTCTAATAATATCAAATTGCGTATTGCATAATACGACGCGTATTATACAATATTAGAATTTATGCGCGACAAAACTCTCTTCTTTTCTTTCTTTCTCACTCTCTCTCTCTCTTTCTCTTTTCACTCTCTTTTTATGGTTGTAAGAACGACATATTTGGATATAAATTTCCGTCGATGGTAGATATTGAAAAATGCTCGAGATTAAAGTTGTTCGAGATCATGAAAGCTCGCTATTTAAAAAGCTGCGCTCTCGTCGACCCACTTTCAAAGTATCCTGCCACGCCTCGCGAGAGGCCGGGTCGATGATCGCTCTATCGTTAATATCGAAGCAGCTAGTAATAACAACTGACCGGCAATACTCCTTCGCCGTTTTTCGCTCGATATTAAAAATGGCACCGGTACGGCGATAATAAGGTTTTGCTACTTGGCGCGAAATCCGCCCGATAAGAGATCGAATAAAGGTAAATTGTGACGCGAAACACGACGCACTTTTGCTGTGTTGAGAAATTTTTTATCAAAAAGTTCCGATGTGTATTTTAAAAGATTTTTAGTATGCCAGCACGTAGACACGTCATGCTAGATATTTCCCTCATTGTCACTTCCCGAGGGCTTGATTACGGGCGCAACCGCAACAGCGATATCGGTGCTCGTCAGGATAGCTCCGGATAGATATTCGAGGAAGGGAAAAAAATAACCGAGGAAACGTGGTTATGAAAGGTGATTATCGAAAAACTCGACGTGCAAGCCCGATGAGTTCACCGCGGAAAACTGTCTTCAATTCACCGGCTCTCTTGCCCGGAACGGGTAGTTTAATACGGCGCATTTCACAGACAGCGGGTAGCTGACGTCAGAAAATCTCATAATGGTAAAGGAAAGGTAAGGCTCGATTCTATAACTACGGTAAATGATGTTGACGAAGATTATCCAGGGCTTATTTTTCTTACCGAGACTCGAATACCTTGTCCTTCCGCTCTCTCATTCTTCTATATTTTCACTTTAATTTGTGAATACACCACTATTTTAATTCAATTGATTAATTATGTTTATACAATAAAATTATCGCTACATCTTTCCTTGTAAATTTTAATGTTTAATTTTCCTTTCTTTTCAAAGACATATTTTCGCAACAATTTTTTGCTAGATTATAAATTTTTAAATTGTTTTTCCTTAACGTATTACTATTCATTATTTGATTAAGCATTTAATTTCTCTTATAACAAAGGAAAATCGGATCTTTTAATAAAATTTATTATACGATACTGCGGTGCTCCAAATATCGTTGATTCTCGAACAAAGTTTTGCTTTTGTCATACAGGAGATTTATTTGCAATAGAGCTCATTCCATTGCCAAACGCATCGAGCGAACGATGCCTAATATTTTCTCATAAGCAATCACATAAAATCTCATAATCGCGAAAAGGAAGGAAACTGGCTTCGTAGATACCTCCGCGTTGCGCCGAATGAAAGAAAACGAATGGGATGAAAAACGATTGAAACTTTTTTCCAGCTTGAAACGTTTCCAGCGACGCAAGCTCTACCCCGAGAGGATCATTTATCTTTTCCCGATACAACGGAATATTCCCAACGCCTCAAACATAAACAAAACGCAAGTTGAGGTTTAAGCGGCGCGGGTTTCAAGTAAAACTTAAAGTAAACTTTCTTAAACAAACTCTTCATGAAAGCATCGCACATTGGTAAGCATCTTCAGAAAAAGATTGCATTACTTCGTTGAATCTTAGCATTGCAAACAAGCGTCGTTATTACTACAATTCATGGTAAAAACAGTAAAAAAATATAGAAAGCTATCTTCTAATTGTAAAATGTAAACGCTTAATTATTAAACTTATTCTTGCTCTTATCTTTAGTAAAAAAAAATCAATTTTATATTGTTTAAAATACTAGGACATACATGCGCGCGTTATACAAGCGCCTTTTTTTTTCTTTCCTTCCTTGGTCCAAGTAAATATTTATTTGATTTAAGTAATAGTTATACCAGGTGAAAATAAAAAATTTAAGCCTAAGTATAAAGGTCCTTACCAAGTGGCTAAAGTTTTAAATAATAATAGATATGTCATTACTGATATACCAGGTTTTAATATTTCTCCTAGGCCATATAATTCTATTTTGTCCCCTGACAGAATCAAACCTTGGGTGAAACTTGTTATAAATAATGAAACTATTAGCGACAAATAATTGTGTAAAGAAATTTTTCAATATTTCTCAGTGAAGGTATTTATTAGAGATTTTTTTTGAGTAATTGGTTGTTTAAAGAAAGGTTTATTTGTTTAAAAAAAAGTTTATTTGTTTAAAAAAAAAAAAAAAAGTTAATTAATATTATTTGGTAATTTAATTCATAATCAAAATGTTTATTGAAATTTTTATTTTTAAAAATTATTGATCATTCGAGACGAATGACATTTTCAGGCTGGCCGAACTGTAAAGTTTTTAATGGTGACTTTTATGTCATGCGTATTTGGTCAGAAGATGGCGTACTCTGTAGGCTGAATATGTAATGATTGAATGATTCCTGATTGGTTATAAATTCAAGCTATTTGTATTCATGTGTGAGCGCGCATTTCAATTGTATTAAGATGTTGGTTTAAGCTGCGAAATGCGTTACCAAGGAAATATGTAAACAGAGGGATTGAGGCGAAGATCTGTTACTAAGCGGTCGTCTTGTTTCGGGAGACGCGCGACCATTCGGACGCTTTTTCTGATTTGTAATCGTGATACGGTTTTCTCGAAGTTTCTATGTGTTATCGCGTACCCCATTAAACGAGATCTAGTAATAAAATCTTCGTATCATAGTGCGAGATATTATTTATGGTGTATTAAATAACTTTACTAATAATAAAGTTTATAAAAGTTCGTCTTCATACGTGAGTGCTATCGATATATTCCAATTCCCCTCTTATTAATTCCTGACTAATCGATATCTAATTCAATTAAACTAGATATCTTACAGAATGAATTATTAGAATTAAAAAATGATAAAAAATAAAAAAGAATATAATTGATTGATAGAAAGATTTAGAATGAATTATTGGAATTAAAATTATATATTGTTTGAGAATTTGATCTTTCTCTAATTCTAATAATTATTTCTAAGTCTTTCTATCAAATTCTAAAACAATATATAATTCTAATTCTATATAAATAAATAATTCTTTAATTAAAATATACTTATCTCAATGTTGTAAATTTTATCCATATGTTAAACACTTTAAACTTTAATAAATAACACTTTAAACTTAATAAACACCACTTTAAACTTGAGCTGTCAAATGACACGTTTATAAAGTCATACAGCTTTATGTCAAAATACAAGCTGTCAAACGCATCTCTATGACAACCGATCGATAAATAAACAAACTCGTCCACACGTACTTCGCGATAGACAACCGATCGATAATAATAAACAAAATTGCAAACGTTGTGATGACAACACCAATCAATAATAAACAAAATCGTTAACGCATACTTTGGAACAGATAAACCGATCGATAACCGTCGCATGGCAACGAAAAGAGGCTTCAAAAATCAATAACAAACCTTTTTTAAGGTAGGGTAATAAATAAATTTACCTTGCTTAATCTACATAATCTATATAAATATTATTTGCTTATTTCAATAATGTAAGATAAAATAATAAAAAAAAAAGGAAGTTGTTGTTTAATGCAAATGTTAGACTGAAAAAGTGACTTACCACGGCATTCGTGTCTTAAATACAATGTCAACTGAACATGTGTGCGGGAGAAAAGTCCGCGGACATCGCAGTTTCATCGCTCTTTGCATGATCCTTTCGATCCTTTTCGATTTGCTTGATCCTTTTCGCCGTTCTCTGAGCGCACATGCAACATCGTCAAAGTCGTGCGATTAAAAAAATTACAGCCCACTGCGGTCATCTCCGGAGATTACAGAGCTGGGTTTTTATTCCGTAACATTCCCGAGTAGAAATCATGATTAGGAACTGGTAGGATTTTTGATAGTTTTTCCTGATGTCTGGACAGGCACTGATAAGGAAAGCAGGCGTGGTTCCAGCCATAAAAGTTACGACTGGCCTCTTCGAAAACTGGACAGTTTTATTAATCAGTTCTGGTCAGTTCTGGACTGGCTCTGGGCAGTTTTTTTTAAATCGGTTTTTGAATATATAGAAACATTTCTTTAAATTTTGGTACAGTAAATACAAAACAACTTCAACTTTTTTAAATATTAAAATATTTATTTTATTTAGAGTTTTATTTCATTTTTTAAGTTTTCTTAAATGTAACACTTATAAAATCTTTTATTCTTAAAATTAAACTTATAAATTCAAAATTAATTTTTAACACAATAAATAAAAATAACATTTTCTTTTATTCTTTACTCTGCTTTCTTGCAGTACGTTGGCCTTCCCAATCCTTCGCATTAGAGATTACGTTTACCTAGACAAGTAAAGAAAGAATTTTTCTGTCACTACTGGATTTTCTTGATCCTTGTTATATGTTTTAAATACAATATCTGAAATAATACATTGCATTTAATAACAATAATTATTAAGCACAGTCGTCTACAATTAATAATTTAGAAAGATTTTTTGTCAGAATCGGAACAAATTAATTATATTACCGATGATACAACGGCAAGTCACTGTATCTTTAAATATTAGTTTAGTGCCCTGTTGCTTAAGGCACGTATACTGGCACATAACTACTCTTTTGACAAGTTTTCTCAAAATACTTGTCAACATTTTTGACACACTATTATCCCTATCTATTGTTACATAGATGGATCGCTTCTGAAATATGAATAAAATACATTTTCACTCAAAGACTAAATTTGTGTTAATAAAAAATAGTTATCTAATAGTTTCTTTAATTTTTATGATATTAATGCTCACGAATTCCAACTGAAAATTTTTTTCAATTTTGAGACGATTATCAAATTCTTGAAAGTCTTCTAAAGCACTAAAAGGCATGTTTAACTCGTATTTCTCCATGAAATCAGTAAAGGTTATTATACAATCATCATCTTGATTGATATTTCTAACGCGTAATATCTCTTTTACGTCTCTTATTTCATTTGCCATCGATGTGATTTGCAGAGTTAATTTTCTTTGCATTGATATTATATCGTTAATGCCTTAAAAATAAATATTATTTAAATAAAGTGATTACAAGAGAGTAATTACAAGTATATTTCATTTTATACGTACCATTCAAAATTTTTTTTGAAGTATCTGGAGCTATACGAAGTTATTACGGTGGGTTTTTGGGTTTTTGATTGATGGACAATAAATAAAAATAGTATAACTAAAATTAATATAAAAAAAATTAATATTGTAGCAAAATAATAGAATAATTGCATTATAATTACAACTCGGTGATTCAGCAATATACAATTCATTGTCAGAAATATCATCATTTTTTGATAATGATGACAGATTATCTTCTTTTGATTTTGTAGATGATTTTTTGTTTTCTATTACTGCCTCAGGAAAAGTAGTAGTTCTTTGGAAATTTTCGGAATCGCTTTCGCTGCTATCTTTACTTGAATCTTTTAAACCTGCAAAAATAATGGACATTTATAAAACATAAAATTTGTGGACGAATATTTTTTTTCTTATAACTAACTGTTAGTTTCATTCAACTCTAAATCGTCCTCTTCATCGTCCAGCTGGGGAACTTGGGACAATAGTTTTTTTCCCAATTTTTCGTTGTCTTTAAAATTTTTTTCTTTATTGCATTAAATGTTTTTAATGCTTTTTCTTCAGCATGTCTCTCGCAAATCTGTTGTATAAGCGTATTTTTTAGTTTTTAATTTTTTAATTTTGTCTAATGCATCAGTTGTAGTTATCTGAAAATATAATAGCAAATTATTTTACTTATTATTTTAGTTATTTTTACTTTTTATTAATTTTTTTTTTAATTATGTTTCCTATTATGCAACATATGTTGAAAATATAATTTTGCAACACTTATTACCTAAATTGTTGTACGTATTATTTTTTTTAATTATTATAATTATCAATAATTTTTTATTGTTAAAATGTTGAAAAAAATAAATTATAAAATTTTTTGTTAGTTAATGTGTAATGTTTTTTACTTGAATCGCCTCGTATAATAATTGGCCATTTTCTCCAACTCTGCAGAGGATTGGATTTTGTTCGCACAAGATGGTGTAAGAAATCACGATCTTTTTTCATTTTCAAGTTCTCCGGAAATGGTGAAACGAGCCTACATGATTTTATGTCGTATGTAATCCAACTAGTTGGTACAACATCCACAATTTTTTGGAGACAATTTTCTTCGTGGAACTCGATAATTTGATAATGGCGTTCAGTATCCATCAGCTTTAATAACACATTTAAGTCAAAACTTAATGAAATGAATATTAAATATTATTTATATTAGAATTTCACAACTTACTTTAGAACGTTTAGAGGGTGTAGCGTATGGATGATGTTGGCTGTGATGTTTTCGAGTTGCCATTATTTTCAGTCAAAATTTCTTTTACCTTCACGAAAACTTTTACACATGAGATAAAACATGTATTTTATATGTCAATTGATTTTAAGGTTAACATGCTTTCGTTATCATAGTCAATTACCAGCATACAAAAAAAAATAGAAAATAATTGCAATCGATTATTAATCGTCTTCTGTTGTAAAATTGGTAATCGATTATGACTATAATAATTGCTGGATGTTATGTAGTACAAGAGGAAAAAAAATAATCGTTTGATATTAAAACTACTTACCTCGTATTAGACACACGCCTTGTATTAGACACACTTCGGTAAAGCACGCTCGCTTCGATCAGCACCCGGAATATTTAGTTCTCAGTACACTACTTACTTCGAAAGCTAACGAACGATTGCGCCGTCTTCAATCTGTGATCTTCAATCCTCTTTATTTAAACTTTTCTAAAAACATCTATCAAAGTCAATAACCATTCTGCCTAATTTGTCCCTCTACATAGAGGCGTTTATACAATATGGTATCGCAGTAAATACAAAATCAGCATTACCAATAGATAAAGTACTGATTTTATAGCGAAATTTTATTTTCATTGACCATAATCACAGTAAGTTTTACGATAAAAAACAAAAAATAAGTGTTTCTACTGAATATTGGTGAAATACTCAGTGAATCTTAGTGAAATTCTATTTTATTGTTTCCATTATAGTAACATTTTCACTGATTCACTTTATAAAAAAAAATAATAATTTTAGGTTACATTCACGGATGTTAAAGGCGCTAAATATTTATACATATTCAGAGTGTATTAAGAGATACGATCAACTTCAAGTGCAGCGTGAAACTGTATTTAACATCCGTGAACGTAATCTGAAATTATTATTTTTTGTCGTTTATAAAGGACTGAAACTTTTGCATTGCAAATCTAGAAAATAGTAAATTAACATCAAGGTTTAATTATATTATAATTGTGTTCGTGTTATTTATTTTTTTTTACTTCTACGTACTATCTACTACTTATTACTTTTTACTTTTTTGTTTCATAGTCTATCATAAAAATGGATAGAATAAAGTATACGGCAAAAATGCGAATGAGACGCAAACGTGCTTTATATAAAATTCAAGAAAGTAAGTAATAATGTTAATATATTTATTATTTATAGTGTTATATATATAAAGGGATCTCGATAAAACTGTGATTAAAAATTATTAAAAAATACGATCTTTTATTGTGGAAAAAATGTTAAATCTCTCCATAAATGTCAATAAAGAGCATTTTAATACTTTTTTTTAATTATTTTAATCTTTCACAGAGGATAATATTCAAAATACGGATTGTCAAGAAGAAGTAGAAGATGAAGAAGAAAACAGAATAGAAATGGAAATAGAACAACAAGATGACGCAGACATAAGTAATGAAGACGAAATGGAAATAGAGCAACAACGTGAAGAAGACGAAATGATTGAAAAAAATAATGTCGAAATAGAAGTTCATGATGAACAAGAATTTTATTTAGAATCGGAAAAAGAAGACGAAATAAACGACGAAACTACAAGTGACGATGAAATCGAAGATGACGTAGAAGTAAAGGAAATAATGGAATTACGAGCATGGGCCATTCAAATAACATCCCGCATATCGTTTTTGGATGCTTTATTAAAAATATTAAGAAATTGTTTGCTTCCTACTCTGCCTATATCAGCTAAAACTTTTTCTGAGAACAAACTCTGTCCGATTTAACATAGAACAATTCCCATTAAGTCGTGGCCAAACTACAGCAGAATTTGTTTATTTTAGTATAGCCGAAGGACTTCGTAAATGTATTAATGTAAAACTTCATGCAAATAATACGTTAAATCTTATATTTGGTATCGATGGAACATCGCCATATAAATCAAGCGCTCTTCAGTTATGGCCAATCATGTGCAAAGTTCAATTTGAGCCAGATTTATATGAGCCATTCCCTGTAGCAATCTATGCAGGTGATAAGAAACCAAATGATTTGAAGTTATATTTACAAAAATTTATCGAAGGGATTAATGAATTACAAACGAATAACATAGTTTTAGAAAATCAAATTTTTAAAATCAACGTCATGTGTTTTGTCTGTGACAGGCCAGCTCGTTCGTTTATTAAGGGCATAAAAGGACATGGAGGATATTATGCTTGCAAACGATGCGTTGTTCGTGGAAAACGAGTTGCTCTTCATGAAACGAAATGTTCAAATAAGACAATGATTTATCCGGAAATTGACTGTGCAGAAAGAACAGATTTATCATTTCGACTCGAAGAAAATCCGGAACATCACATTTGTAAAACACCTTTAATTACTATACCAACAATTGATATGATTTTTCATTTTGTGCTAGATTTCATGCATCTTTGTTGCTTGGGTGTAATGAAAAAATTATTATTAGATTATTGGATTCAAAGTAATTCCAACGTAAAATTAGGCGTGCAAGGTAGACTCGAAATTTCTCGGCGATTGCTTGCCCTTCAATCTCAAATACCAGTGGAATTTCAACGAACTACAAGATCGCTAGTGGATATTTTGAAATGGAAGGCAACAGAATTTCGATTTTTTCTATTATATAGTGGCCCTGTTATTTTAAAAGGTATTCTGCCTAAATTATTATATCGGCATTTTCTTTTATTTCATGCTGCGTGCAGAATTCTTTGCAGTAAGAATTGGACTTTAAAATATAATGCGAAAGCTAAAACATACTTGCGTAATTTTTGTATTAACTGCTCGTAATTTTTATGGATCAGCTTCACAAATTTTGAATATGCACAATCTCATTCACTTGGCTGACGATGCAAAAAATTTAAGTTGCTCATTAAGTGAGATCACTGCATTTCCGTTTGAAAATGCTATTAAAAAAATCAAACAAAAAATTCGCAGTGGTAAACATTCATTAGCACAACTGTGTCATAGGTACAGTGAATTGTGGTCGATTGATTCGGTTAAAAAAATCCACACCAACTATTACTATCGAAAAATTTGGACGAATCTTGTCATCTGGGGATGTTTTAGTAAAAAAGTTAAAATGGAAAAATGTTGTCCTCTCTACTAAAGAACCTAACAATACAATATTGCTTCATAATGATAAAGTAGTTAAAATTACAGATATGTACATTCCATCAATGAAAGAAATAAATGATATTATAATTGTGGGAAGATTGATGAAGATCAAAAGTTCCATGTATGCTTATCCTTTTTCTTCTAAAAAATTAAAACAATGGGAAATTGTAGATAATGAAGAAAGATCCAAAAAAAATAACGTGTGGATTACATAAAATTAAATCAAAAATGGTACGTTTGGATGTCCTTGTTAGCAGCGTAACGGGGGAAAAAAAATCATACGTTATGCCACTTCTTCATTTATAAAAAATTGTATAAAATAATTGTGAAAATTAAAAAAATATATATATAATCAATGTTCTATAAAATATAATTAATGTTATAAAATATGCATAAAATATAATTGTATAAAATATAATACGTACAAAATATATGTAATTAGTGTAAAATGTAATGAATGTATGAATTAGCTACGCAATATGCATAATCTTATTCACTTAGCGTCATTTAGTTCGAGATAGGGTTTTCCCTAAGTGTATCAAGACTGGAAATCTAGTCAGTGGTTGGTCGGAAAATGGCCCGAAATGCCTTGACTGAAAACACTGAAAGGGGCCTAGTGCCCTGTCAGTTTCCCATCAGTATTTTTAGTCAAGGCATTTCGGATCATTTTCCGACCAACCACTGACTAGACTTCCAGTCTTGATACATTTAGGGAAAACCCTATCTCGAACAAAGGAAAACTGCTTAGAGTCCTCCTTAGAGCCTGGCTAACATTACTTATTAGGGAATGCCACGACACTTTCTGAATAGATACTATTCAGACATCTGGTATTCCATGACAGATTTCTACTCGGGTTTCTGCCGCGGAAAATGGCTGGTTTAAACGACTCGGAGCTCATCGCATCAAAAATAACATCGGATTAACTCCGGGGGGGTCACGAACTTTTTCAGAAACGAGCTTTATAACTGGATCCTCAAGCTTTCCATTGAGTTTACACACTGACGAAGATGTTTTTAAACAAAAATTTTCTACAAAAATTAATATATTTATGAAAATGGTACATCTCATAAAGACCATTCTGACTTTATTTGTTGTAAGTTGAAAGTAATTTTATGTGGAACATTATACTTAAAATATTTTTAAAAATATTAATTTATAAAACGTTGTAAACGTTGTTACAATAATTAAATTGCCATAATCACCGCGTTAACCAAACATTATATTTATATAAGTATTATTATAAATGCTTTTATTTTGTTCTAATTTATTTATTTATTATTTCTACATTTTACAAATAAATGTTTCTGAAAAGATCTAATTAAATCATTTAAAATATAATATGTTAACTGATTAGGTAAGTAATAACGTTGAGAAAAACACACAATCTTCAATAAATCATGAACACACGGCAGTGTTTCACAGTATTTGCTTTTAATCTTGTTGAAGGATAACGCGAGTGCTTATTTCATAAAAGAACAGATCTTCGTGGCTCGAAACTATCCTAGTTTAAGAATGATAGAAAATTCTATTGAAGCCTGAATTCAGCATAATTTACGACTCGCTTATCCGTAACGAAAATAAAAGAAAAAAATACGTAACACTTCGCGGAGGTAATGCATCGTTGTCTTTATTCGCGAAAGTGGATTGTCCACTTTTTCACGCTAACGCAGCGGAAAAAGGAGTGCGCGTCCTGCGGGCAAAAAAATTTTGTGAAAATTGCAGCTTTAATGAGAGGAACGGTGACACCGACGAGGCCAACCGGGCGAATTTCCTGAGCGATCGCGAAACAGGTGGACGCTGGAAACCTCGCTCTTTGCATACTTGACAATTTTATCGCACCGCAACTTTCACAGAATGTTCTTTATAAATTATGCAGAGGAGAGAATTGCGCTCGCATTTTTTGCGAGAACCCGTTCATGGACACGCGGAGTCATCTTCATCAGACAATAGCGATCCGAAGAGACTCCTCCGTGCCGGATTTTATTCACGTTATGTCAGCACATTTGAAGAGTTCAGAGGCAACGTCCAGGACCGCTTCGACCGCAGTATGGCTCTTAATGCACAATTCTGTGTAAGCACTCTCGAGCGTGTGCTGCGCTTTCTCTAGTATGATTTTACTTCGCGATGCGCTGTTTTCCGCAAATATGTTAAATAATCACAGGAAAATTAGAGCTTGTATAGCATCACTTCGAAATATTTGTGGATAAGTAATTGAAATAACGAATGAATTCTTAGTAAAACAATTTGAACAAATTTGTGTCGTTTAAGTGGCCGCTCAAAGCAATCTAGTGAAGTAATCGAGAGGACTGTAGTCGCATTCCGAATAAAAATGCGCGCATTGCCCGCGCGTATTTCTGCCGATCTCCTCGGCGGCGTGATATTCGCGATTTGAGTAGATTTCGTATTCCTCGTGAGTCGTCGACGGCGTTAGGAAGGCGTGTAACAGCTCCCCCAGGAGCCCGTGACCTTTGTTGAACGGATTCGCCGAGGATTCGCAAACAGCGCGCAATAGGCAGGCCTTGCCTATCGTCGACTCCAGCATTCCGTACAGGGTCCAGCGTGTCGTGTGACCTACGCGTAAATAAAAAGAAAAGGGTATGAAGAACGAAATGGAATCGTTTTATGTTCACGTAAATGTTGCGGAAGAAAACGCAGCGCAATAAGGGTTCGCGCAAAAATTTTCTCACGAGCCGAGCGTCATGGCTCTTAAGAAAGATGTCTCTCTTCGCTTTTATAATGATTAATGCGCCAGCGATGCAAGATACGCACATATTATAGATCTTGTAGAAATATTAAAAAAGATTATTACCTGCTAACATCTTTTATGAATCACTTTTATAATAATTAGTTCACTAAGATTTAATTTTTCTATTTCTACCTGAGATTTCTAAAGAAAGATAGTGTCAGTTAAATTTATTATTGTGTACTGAATTGTACAAATATTGATTCTGAAAAAATTATAAATTTTTACTGTTACAGGTTGGTCACAGTGTGTAAACACACCGTTTATAAAATATTGATTACTGCATTCTAGTTTACATTCTCAGAATGTCCTGCTATCAAATCGCATGTCAGCCGAGCCGTTTCGCTCATAAAAAAAAGAGCCGACCGTGCGGTGCACGACAATGACGCCTTTCTGAACGTGCGTCAATATTACAGAAGGTCGTAAAAGAAGCGTATGACAACACGATGTAGTGTCGAGTGACTCGTCGACATTTCAGCGGCGCAACAGCACGTTTCTATTGACTTCCATGAGCCGCCAAAACCGCTCTGCGGCTAACGGAAGTTTCTCCCGGACGAAAATGGGGAAAAAGTTGATGCTGAGGGAGTTCACCTCGTAAAAAGGGAGAAACATCTGCGGTAAACAGTCATTCGGTCGTCACCGCTAGAAACGGCTAGCTGCCGTTAGTGAAAAAACGAAAAAAATAGACGTCAGTTAAGTAAAATAGTGTAAACTTGAAAACCGCGCGATACACATTACAATAGTTTGCCTTCAAAATAGCAGAAATCCAATTTTCACAAATAGTAAATTTTCAAGTTACATTTATGAATTGATGCGATTTTTCGCGATTTACAAAACTTCAAAAGTTTACATTGCATTTAAAACACAATTTTATATATTTTAATACCGTGTTTTCCTAATTAGTATATGCTGGCATTATTTAAAAAAAGCATTATCTTTTATTTTTAATCGTTGTAAAATTAATTGAAGAAGAATATGTATTATTGCATCAATTTAAGTCCGTAGTCCAAATAGGTCGTCGCGTTATCGAAACACGGTGCCAAGGTAAATTTATACTACAGCGCTGGCTCGAAAAACTCTGTAGTGAAAACACGAGCTTTGAAGATGAGAACGACTGAAAATAAAAATAATTTTTTTTTTAAACAGCGACAGTTTAAATAAAGCAAATATACATGATTTACGTAATTAATTTGGACATAAATCTAATATTAGTTTTTCCATCAACGTGCTTCAGATAAAATGCATCACAGCAGATGCTTCTCCTGAAAATATTCTCAACTGCTTCAGAAAGAGTGCGGGTCAAAGTTGCCGCTGATAGAAAAATTTCAATAGTTTCAATCTTTCTCTTTATTTTCCTCAAGACAAAACAAGCTTTCAATAAAAAATGCAAACATAGATCTTAAATAAGTATGTAAACTTTTCAGCATCTTATTTTACCGGCAATTTGCAAGGAATGCGCCTCCGACGGAAAATTCTTTTAGATACTCTTAATTTTCCACAAACGTAATGGTAAGTTTTCTATAAAAAAAATTGTAATATTAAACTTGTATATAAGTTTGCTGATTCTATTGCACAAAAATTAATAAATTTTATTATTATTTATTATTGTTTTATTTTAATATTATTTATTACTTATTAATTTAAAATTTATTCGCTCTTATTCGCCGCTCTCTCGACGCAAGCTATTGTAGTGCTTCCTTAAAAACAATATCTATGATAAACTACTGTATTGTAATGTGTCTGCATTTTTACTTTCATGTTATTTAATCACATTTTATATTGTTATTGCATATTATTGCATTTCACATTACTATTGTATATTGTAAACCAACAATTTTTATTTTTACAGAGATGCTAGATATAACAAAATATTTCTTTCATAAAATTTTTATGACATTGTATAAAGCTGAATTTTTCTACACATTTTCGCGAAATATCACCAGCATACTTTCGCTAAGAATTAAGGACGCTTTACCAAGGTAAATCCGCTACTGGTCTGGTGGCACTCTTGGATCTCATAAAAGATGGCATATAATATCTTTTCTAAATATATTTCTGAAATGTTTTAAGAAAATCTCTGCGTATGTGTGATTCGATAATATTCTCAAAATATCATATTTCAATTTTCCATAAATATTTAATACAAACGAATAATTATGCTAGGATAGCAATTAATCGCATCTTCATTAATATTCCGTAAATATCTTTCGATTGCGTAGAGAAATCCATATTTAATTCTCAAAATACTTAAAGATAATATAAATATAATTATTAGATATTCTTGGAATAACATTTGCTATATGTATATAAATATTTATTTGCTAATTAAACAGTTGTAATAAAAATAAGATAATGAATGCACCACAAAATAGAGATAAAACCGCAAAAAATAAAAACCGCTAAAATGCATTCAACATCGGGCGATCTCCGCGAAGTTACAACCTTCTTTATATCTTTAGTGGTTCGTGGCGGAAAATGAATATGTTTACATCAATTAGCTCGCGTCCGCATATAAATCCGCCGTTTTACGTTCGTCGCGGCACGGAGGCGAACATTAATCGCGTTTCTTAAATACGTGACTTCGCATTCGTTGCGTTTCATTAAGTCGCGCGTTTACGCCTCCGTGCCGTTTAATTACCCGCGTCGCTTTTTCGCAACTCGCCCAGCGTATTATGCATTTCATTATCGTCTCGTTCGTTGTTACACTTGTAAGATTTTTATTTCGCGCATTTCCGTTTGAAGAGTTACGCGAAAGAGGACGACTCTTCGACGCGAAACGAGAAAAATTAAAAGCGAGTATAATTCACGGGACTCCGCAGGGAAACGGGCTTATTTATGCACGCACGGTTAAGCTGCACTTTACCTTCGCGCTGCCCCGCCGTCGTCCGCGGTAATGCGAAGTCGCCCTCGGATCTTTTTAATCGTGACCGCCACTGTTGCATGAGGTCTGACGCATTGTGGGGGAGATTATAATTGCATTTCAGCACATAACCGAGAGTCATGGATACCTCGCTCTCCATGGGCAGCCCGAGTCCGAAGAGTACCTATGCAAATTTAATTAAACGCTTGGTGCGAGCCAGTTTTTCGGCGCGTCGAGACGCTAGACCAATATTTACAGCGGAGGCGATAACACTGATAATCTCCGTGCCGTTCCGTGATTCGTATCACGGAAATGTAACATGCAATTTCTTAAAGGTTCAGTTAAATAATTAGAATTTATTATCGGAGCAATTTGAGAAGTTATAAAGTTTAAAAGCGTTCAAATATAACTGGCAGGTTTGTTTCTTTAACTGTAATTTCTATGCGGCTTTTACAGATTTCTTTTTTCCAAGCGCGAATATAGAGAAAATATTAATTTGACATGACGTAAATAATAATAGACAGAAAATATTAATTTAACGTGATATAAATAATATAAGTATCACAAATTCACAAGTATGATATTTTAATATTGTCGCTTTGCAATTTCGCGAAGTATATTCAACCTCCATCCTGCCATATGTATAATGTATGAAGTAAAATATATATAGTGCAATGTATGCAAAAGGATATTAAAAGCTCCAATCAGCATTTCAAACAAATAAAAATGTAATCTAAAAGAAAGTTATGTGCAAGATTTATATTCGTTTTAATGAAATTTTTAATGTTATACATAAAAAAATTCAAATATTTTTAAAAATATCAACACACATACCTGATATCTCGTCTCGCTATCTCCCGGATCGGGAAACAAGAGATGCCGCCGTTCTCGAAAGAAGTTTATTACACGGCGATTCGGTTTGGCTTCGAATCGGCAGATACATGCGAGAATTGTCATGAGTATCACAGAAGAAGCTTTCGTCATTATTCATGAGAAATTTTACACGAACTGATATCCTGTCTGCAAAGATGGCAGTCTAATTATTACGACAACATTTTCGTGTGCACGTCAGTTAACATTCGCACACTTAGAACTGTGCAGAATGACGTTGCAGACCGGTTTGCATGTTCTGGCATCGCCAAACATATCGCGATAGTTGAAATCGGCATAAAGTCGACAGATTGAAACAGCGTCTGAGTATTTGTGCTGCTATGTTTTGCCAACGAGTGATTTTGTAAGCTCGAAAAATCGATATTTTCCCTTTTATGTAATTATATAATTATTATAATATCGTAATAATATAATTTTTGTGTGTAATAATTTATTTACTAACTACACATTGAATTTTTATTATGTTAACACAAATTTATTAATTTATTATTTATTTGCAGATTATTTACACTTAGCTTGTCGTTGATATTTCACGATGCGCGATCGAAAATGGCAAACTCAGATATTGCAGAAATTTTGCATCGGCCCATAAGAAGTCTAACATTCCCAACAAGCAGTAATATGGGCGTAAGTATATACATTTATCTAAAACGATAATTATAGTACTGTATGTTAAATTTACAATACATATGTATTAGCAATTTATCGATACAAATGCGAAATATATTAAAAGCAATAATTTTTTATTATATAACGGAATTAGTACTTTCTTAGAACATTTTGCTTGAAATTACCGCGATCTTGAAGATAAGATCTTGTTCTCTTAAAACTTTCTCAATTTCGAGGAGAATCTGACATAGAAATGAAACGAATCACGCGACGATTACGCAATTAACGTTTCTCGCAGATCTTCGTCGCTCTCTCAGTGCCACTCGAAGATCCGCTGAATTCGATCTCTCTATCGTACTTCTTCGAAGCAAACTACAGTTTACCGCTGAACATAACGTACTTTGAACCCTGGACGGAACGAAAAAAGAGAAGGCGAAGTATCGACAGAACCACGATCTATCGAGTTCTAGAAAGTAAATTCGAGAGGTAAGTTCGCAAACAAATAACCGTATGTTACAAGCGTCTTCTTCGTTTTAATTCCCAATATAATTCCTTTTTGCGATGTCTTACGATATTGAAGTTTTTTCTAATCTAAAACTACTTATGATACCGTCTGGCAATATCTCTTCTGATTGGAAACATTCGAGTAAATCATTTGCAGAATAAAGCTGCCGTTAAATTGAAAAAAAATAGCGAAATTCAACGCAAACGAAAGAAATTCGAATTGTAAATTCTTACTCACGGCAAAATATATCGTTTCTATCTTTCTACTTCTGATTGGATCGTATTTGATTCCGCTCTTACATAATATCCAACGTCCGACGTGTGCGCGCACCGTTCCTTGGAATAAAATAGCTTCTGGCGAACATAGTGCGTCATAAGCGACTCGACTGAGATACATAGTACGATAAAATTGCTCGTTGCCGCCGATTATTACGAGAAATCAGCGCTGATCGTGGCACGCATTCGGAAAAAGTTTCACCGAGACGCGCTGCAGCGTCGCGACGCTCGGAACAGAAGGGAAATCAGTGGAAGTTCGAGGCAAATGCGCTCCCGGCTCCATTTTACGAGCATTCGGGGGCGCCTGGGAATTGCGTTACACGCCCGACCCGTGTATGTGTGTTCTCGCGTGCGCACGTAAGCGCAACGTATGTACGAATTACGTATGCACACGAATCTTCAATCCGGTATTTAGAGAATCGTAAAGCGCAAAGTAAACAGGCAACGACGAGCCCGTACGATCCACTCTTGTTTCCCATATCCCCGGATTTCTCGTCTCTCCGTGTGCTTTCTTGATTTTTCCCTCTGCCGTAGCTCCGGTTATCCCGGAAGAGAGTGTCTGCTGAGAGCGATCTGCGAGACCTCGGAATTTCCACTTCAACACAACGGGATGATCGGCGATATTATGCACGTGCTTTTCAGGTGAGCTCTATTGTTGGCATACGACTGAAATTTTGCAATATCATAATGTTTTAATAATTATAATTTTTTAAATAACCTTTCTCAAAAAAGTTCTATAAGCTAGAGGCAAGTAAGGTATTTTTTATATTAAAAAACGGAAGGTAATTTTTGCTGCTAGTAATGTGAGAAAAAAAGCTTTAATAAGAATTGCGCTTTGAGAAATTAAAAATCACCAATTTTCGGCTGCTTTTATTGATGCTTAATAATAGCCAAAGAACAATCTGATAATAATTTCCCATATTTTTGTTATTTCAAGAAGTGAATTGTTGCATTAAAAAATTAACAATTTATTGTACGTCGTCCTCAGAAATAAGGTTTGGAAATCTCGGTTAATAACTCACGGTCCCACCCTCCCGTTACACAGTATTGTTTGGTCGATTGTGGCGCATAAAATAAGCCAAAGGATGCAGACGAGATGCTTTCCTCTTTTCTGAGCAAAAAAAAGAAAGAAGGAATAGAAGCGCCGCTCGCGGGCCTCCTCTTTTTCCTCGGTCGGACACAGCGTTCCAAGGCGCTGCAAATTGGAGTAGATACGCGCCGTGAAAAAGCAAATTTGGCTTCCTCGCAGCAAACTCGCCTACCCTATAGAGAGACGTGCATCCGCTCTACTCTGCTTCGACCCGCTTCTCTCGCGGGCAAATAAGCTCTCCAACCAGGAACGTATGAATAAAGGACAGGAACCCGCGGGCGAAAACTACATTGTCGTCGCCGTCGTGTCGTTGTAGTCGTCGTCACCGACGTCACCCGCGAACAAGAAGTTTCCTGCCTATAGCGCACAATCGCATAATGCGTTGATGAATTGCACATCGCGAATGCGAAACGATGTAAGCGCCTGGGAACTTTTCTCGTAGTCTTTCATATCTTTCTTACTTCCCTTACATTATGCAAATGAACTTTGCGTTGGAGCGAATGCACGTAAATGAATTAAAACTCGCAGTATTGTTCGCCGAGAACTGCGCAGCAATAATCGCTCGCAAAGGGCATAATTATTAAGACAGCTGTATAAAATATTTTTAACTATTACATAATACAAAGAATCGCGGAAATCGCGATTAAATCTTATCAATTCTGCAATCGTTTCGAAACGTTAAGACAGGACTGTTAATGATCGTCCTGCTGCGGATGAAGCGGCGCAGCGCATGAAGGGACAAATGACAGGAAAGGAACGGTCGTCTCTTTAAGATTTTTGTATCTCGACTCGAGATACGCAACCTCGGTCCATTGTCGTTTTCATCGCCGGTACGCGACAATGCACGGACGGCTTCGCACAAAACCAGAAAACGTTATGCGCAAGTACAGCGGGAAAAGAACACAAAAGGGGAGCTCGTTTTGCGTCTTTCGTAGCTAGTACGTTGATGCATTATTACGCCCGGCCCGGATACGTCTTCATCTTTTTGACTACCAGAAGAAACGGGGAATTACAGGAGTAAGCTCCATCCCTTTCCGGTAAACTATTGCGGTCGAGAAAAGCCTTCGCCAATTGCTAGACCCGAGAAACCGGATCGATAAAAACGGAATTAGATAACGATGGCGAAATAATTTATTACATTGATACCTAAGCAAATTATTTTAATTAAAATACAAGTCTGCGTCGTTTTTGTCATTATTGTTACTTAATATACGTTATATTTTAAAATTTTTGTAGCAGTCAGAATTTGATAAGCGTTTTTCATTAGGCAAAAACATCTCGTTTGCAAATACGAAGCAACGAAGTCGTGAAGTTATGCACGGCGTTCCTAAATTTTAATAAAGCCGGTAATAAACTTTTGAAGCGTTGCCTCAAACGAAAGTCAAAGCGGAGCGGTGCGCGTCCTTCGAATATTCTAGAATGCGGGCTGCATCCTCAGTCCTTAAAAAAAAGCCCGAGAAATATCACCGTGAAGAAAAATATTCTTTATTCAGTTTGTTTCCAGCACGCAGGATATTCAAGATTTATCGTCTCTCATCAAGGGAGCTTGCATAGAGTGAGACAGCGAGGGGGGAGGGGAAAGGAAGGGGGAGGGCGGATTGGCGAAAGGGTATAGAGAGAAAAAAAGCGAGGGCGAAATAAAACTTCAATAAACCGATCGTATAGCTGCGCGCTGTAACAAAAGACGGTATAAAAAATTGGGCCGACGAAGCCGTTTCTCTTGAAATGACAATTACTATGCGCGATGAATTCTTTTTATCATCGCGGTTGCATTCCGGGCGAAATGGAAGGGAAAAAATTGATCAAACAAGAATCGTCCGCAAAATTGCAAAAAGAGGCCGAGACCTTTTTTCCCAGTTCATTATCCGCGGACACACAGATGCATTATCAGGCTTACGCCTTCGCGAGGAGATTTTCGACCAATTTACCGAAAAGATTGCAGACACTTTCCAGAAGAGATTGCATTGTAATCTTCGATGAAATTGAAGTATGTATTGAAGCTCTCTGGATTTATTTTTAATAGAACTCTAACTGCAAGCTTAATTATTAGAGTGTTCGTTATTGCAGATCAAAAACCCGTAACGAATGTTTATCTTTCTTGTCATTTTTTTTCTTTGTAAGAATTATTGTCTCGCAGTTAAATGAGAAATTTTGTCTTAATGTTTTGTGCAATAATTGCGAAGTACTGTGTAAGACGACAGGTCTTTGCGGTTCAATTATATTAAGGAATCATGTTTCCAGTCCAAGTACTTCGAGGCACGAGGAATTGCCGCAAGATATTGTCGAGGCAGAACTAGTCGGCCGCAATGGAAGCTGTTCCAAGTACCAACCGCAATGCCCGCTGGGACTCTTCGACTTGATTGGAGTCCTCGCGTGATCCTTGAAAAATCGTCGCAGTTTACCGTGCCACTTTCACGAAATAAACACTCTAATTGGCAGTCTTTGGAAATCGTTCACGTATTGCCGAAGACAGAATGCAATATATATTCTAACGTGTGGAAACCTCAGCGATTTAGTCTGTTTGATGAAATCCCTATCAACAGGACCTCGAATATTCTTGATTGCAGATGTTTTTAGATGTGTAGTATATACATATTGTAAATGATATATCTATAAACAATTGCATTAAAACGTCAATTATTTCTGAAATACATCTTTGTCTTTATACATATCATAAATCAATCTTGTAAAAATATGCAAAATCACTAAAATAAAAAATTTATGGTGAAACGGTTTTTATTCTTCTATAAAATATCTTGTCTCATATTCCCGCATAAATTTTACCGCGTATATTTTTTTTTATTTGATGCATTTATTTCATGAAACTATTAGATTCTCAAAGCACCGCGAAAATACGCACGGACTAAAAACAATTATTTCGGTCTTGCGCGCCGATATAGCAAGCCAAAATTCCTTCGGGTATATCCTCAGTTCGTTCGCAGTTTATTATCTACCAAGAACACCTCTGCGTACAGTGCGGAAGTAAAGCTGGCGAAAACGGAGAAACGACGAACGCCGTATTATCGAATTATCGCGGGCAAACGTATTTATATACTTGTAATTGCCGTGCGATCGTAAATCTCAAATGGACGAAGAATAAGAGTTATTGCCACATTTCTTCTCCTTAACTTTTGTATCTGTTACTAAGCGAGGCCGCGTTGAAGTTATTTCAGTGCCAACTGGGGAAATCCTTTTAAAAAAATTTATGTCTTACGATCGCACTGTGATAACAACACAACGCAATTTTCTGAAGACAATCAGATATTAATTATTAAATTATTATATCGCTACTTTATTGTTATAATACTAAATTATTTTTACAAGCTGGATTAAAAAATTATTAATTTAAAACATGCAATAATAAAATCAGAAATTAATTATGTAAAGACTTAATGACTTAAGATATTAAAAAATTTTGCATTTTCTGTTATTTCTTATCATAGCAAGCCATGGAAATCAAACTTTTGTCAAACAAACTTTTGCAGCATGTTTTTCAAGTTGGAGCATTTTTAATTTTTTATTTCCTGGATTATCTTCTCTCGAAGGAAGTTGCTAAGAAAACCGCGTATCGTCCGACAAAGACGTCCTTCAATAATAATTCAAATATAACTGGCCAAATAGAATTTCATAAAGAAATTCGTCGGAAAAGTTTGAACCAAAGTGTAAAATTTTCAGGTTTATACTCAAAGTTCCAAAAAATGCACTAAACTTTACAATCGCTATGGATAGAGAGAAGTCGCGAGAATTCTGACACCTACGAAAGTAAAGTCGAGCATTTTATCGAGTGCGCAGAAACTTTAGCCACTTTAGAGATTCATAAGCAATGCGCTCCCTTTGCGCGTGAATTGTTTATAGACAATAGACATCCTTCGTCCGTTCTATCAATCTTTTTTACATTATAAAATCATATAACAAAATCACTAGCGCAATCCACAGCGCAATCTTCTCTTACATAGATTAAGAGTATGTGTACGCACACAATATATATAGGAGATATATTAGTGTAAATATTCAATCCTCAATCATCTCTCACAGGCGTCCGTGATTCTTTTATTTATTTATTTTTATACCAAAGATCGTGATACAGAAGCAGCAAAAATATACTTGAACATTGTGCCGAATCAGCACAAAAGCAGCCCTTACAGCGCACATGCACCGACATAGCGGAAATATTCAAGTCGCGTGAAAATAAGGTTGCTCTTCTACGTGGATGCGCCCTTGGAAAATTCTGTACGCGCGCAACGCACTTCCCGGGAAAAAAAACTTCACAATTCCGGAAAAGTTATGAAGTCGTAAATGTTGAGTTCACAGGAGTACATTCTCAGACATTCCACCGACTCTTTAACATTCTCCGCGTCGATGTATTCCTGGCGAAGATCTTCGAGTGCAGATGAACTTGGTCTACGGAGAAAATTTTACGTGAGCTTTACGACGAGCTTTTTGATCGAAATCGCCGAAACTCTGCTCGCGCGCAACATACATGAACAATAATTCGAAATCAATCGGTTTTAATTCATGGATATCGATTACGAAACTCTCTCTCTTCACTCCGTTAACAATGATTTTATTTTATATCGAGTCTTTACATTCCAACTGCATATCAATAACATATCACGATGTTATTCGTTGTAAAAATACCGATAAAAATTGAATATCTTTTTTATTTGTATAACATATTATATTCGCGCGCCATCAATCGAAACGACACGATATTATTTTTAACATTTTTCTGACATTTTAGCATTTTTAACATTTTATGTTACAAATAGAAAATTATTATTAAAAATCATTTATACGACGTTTTTCCGTAGATCTTCATGATACGCAGCAATATTATCGAATTGTGCTACATCTTGCTTCTTATATCTTATATCATATTTTGACTTTGATATCAGCTAGATAAACTGATTGTGAGAGAAGAAGAAGATATTGAATAAAAGGTTGAGAATATTTTCGTTTGGTCATGAAACCTTTGCTAGGAATTCTGAATTCATCAAAAAATTTCTGACCGTACTCAATGATCATTTGAATAAAAGTGAAGCAGGTGCTCTTGTCAGAAGATAAAAGCAAAAGCATCCGTTTTAAAGTAAAAGTAAAGACATTCCATTTTTTCTACATAATATTAAAAGGATGGTTTTGCTGTGCTAAACCAAAAATGAATCTTAAAATTTAATTATTTGTCAACATAAAAAATTTTGTAAATTATCAAATTAGATTTTTTCCCTTGTTTTGCGGATAAAACTTGATTTATTAACACTTTGAAAAAATTATTTAATAAACTACATAGACTTTTCACTTAAGAAATATACAATATGTTCAGAAATACCTTTTTATATTAAAATGAAAAATAGGTTTAAGAGAAATGAGATACACCTTTTTCGCGTAGAAAGACAAAGCGTATGCTAAAGGATCTTTGACGGATGACTCACGTGAATATGATACGCAGTAGATCGCCAAGAAGCCCGTTGTGAATGTGCACGTCTCGTCGCTTGGTCTCACATATAGATCTGAGGAGGCATTGACGTCCTGGATAGCCCATTCTGAAGCAGAGCAAATGTTCCGTCATCGCCCGGTACGATGAATGATGTTTGGCGAGACAAATGAGGTGTTCCTAAGAGCAATCGTGTCGCGGACAGGAAGTGTCCGCACATTTTCGCATAAGTATACGGAGTGTTCCGGAAGTTCGGTCATTTAAAACGCCTTTGGCAGCTAATTGAGAAACTTATGCGACGATGCGGCGTGCAGTGTCGATGAAGAGTAATGCAGCGTAAGGTAAAGTATGTTCGCAATAACAAAAAACAATTAACAAAAAATTTGCTAATCGATTTTGACTCGACAACTAGCCAAATTAATATTGCATTTGGCAATACAAAGTTTGTCTGTATTAAAGTCGATTGAATTTACGTTACAATAATTATAAAAAAATAAGAATTAGATGCAGAGTTCAGCGTTTTGTAATATGCGCATAAATGTAATATTCGCGAGCTTCAATGTTTATTCTACTAGAAAATACTTATCTCATAGAAATCTTTTCTTTTTTATCAGGTCAATCCTCGTTGCGCTTCTGACGTGTAGACATATAAATGTATAGTATATTGTTGCCGCTTTTATCCGTCACAGATAGACATACGTTATTTGCTTCCGACACTTGACATTTTTCTTCCTCGGAAGAAATGGGGAGAGTGACGAATGAGAGAGAAATTGGATTGAGTTCACGAAAAGGCTGTCTCGATCTCTAAGTGTCGTCGATAATAGACATCTAAGAAATCCTGCCTCTTTAAGTCGAATACTGATTTCCCGCGTGATTTTGTAAACGAGAAAAGCAATATCATAATGGATAAATTGTCAATATGACAGTATGCTAATAAAGAACTGATAAAAAAGAGAAAATTAGCGGCAAACAAAAAACATTTTTTTTGTATATTTAAATCGCTAGGCAGCGATTGATAATCGTATCTAATTATAGAAAATACATTTTACGGAATGTTGAGCTTATCGCGATTGAAATTAAACACTTTTTCAACAGAAGTCGCTGAATTTATTTGTTGTCGAAATAAATGAATTATTGTAAACCAATTTTGTAGAAAATTAAAAAAAAATATTTACGTCTATTTCGAAATATATCAAATCCTGATAACATTTAGATATGTCGCATATTGTCACGAATTTTAACAAATTTTACTTCTAGTCTCTGAAAAAAAATGTTAGATGGAGAGAAAAATAAAATTAATTCTTTTTATAAATAGGTACAGAAATTGAATAAAAATTACTTTCGATTTTGTGCAGCAAATTTGAAAGAACGGTTATTTATGTTGATTGCCAATTCACTGCTCATCTCTCATTCAAGACACCAAAGACTAATAGCGATCCAGCGTTAAGCGACTGCGAAAGCCTCTAACGTCCCCATCAGCATCACCGTGGGACTCGGTGTGCACCACGATCTGAGCGTAGACGCCAATATGCAAATTTCTGGTACTTGTCGGATTCGATTTAAATGTCACGCGTTCCCGAACGACCGTGCCTATGTACAGTCTGGTGCATAATGATCTCCCGTGCATTAGCCTGAAAGCATCATGATATGACAAGTTTTCATTCTTTTAGCAAGCATAGAGCGATCGAATTATACGATAAATCAAGTAAACAGAATAACATGTCTTTTAAATATTAAATGGCAATATTTAATCGTCAGGTATAAGTGCACAGGACAACATTTTTGCACTTATGTACTGAAATGCACATAGACATATGTACATACAAATCATCAATGCGCTCGCGCACTCATGTTACGCTGATTGAAGGAATCCCGTTAAGGGAACGAATGACAGCTCGGAACGGAATCAGCGAAGAGTGCAACTAATCAATCTTCGAGGCAGATAAGATGAATCAAGGAAAGTAGTTGTTAGATATCGCCGAGCGATTGCGACGATTAAATTATCGGCGATTCGAGAAATGCCATCTATCTCTGTAAAGTGACAACAATGCTGAATAAAAAAAAAGTTGTGAAATATTAATAGTGATGCAGTACATAACGTTAAAAAATGTAATCTTTCTTTTTACCTTTTAAGACTGCAATATTGATGCTGATAAAATGGAACTAATAACAAGGCGTCTTAATTATCCCGTTCAGAATTATATTATATAAATTTCAACCGATAACATCTCGTATTGATAAGCTCCTCGACATGTGCACTACGCGGAAATTTGCATATTAGGTCGGGAAATTTGTATGCATAACTTTGCGTGCGTGGAAAGTTCACGGAAGTGAGGATTTTCGAGCGAACCGGCGTTATCGGCAGAATCGAGGATGTACCAAAGCCTCCTTTAAGCAAATCTCTACGAAAAGAGTGTTTACCCTGTCCTGCCGTCTGTGGACTATTATTGTTTACAGTATTTCTTAAAGGCGAAAATTTACTTTCTGTCAGATTCCCGTATATTAAAGCGTTATTTCAGAATTATTTAGCAAGTTAGGAAAAAAGCGTAAAACAGAAAATACGTTACATTTTACAAAAATTGATTATGAAAACAAGATGACACTTTATCATAAGTTACTAACGATTTAAATTTCGATTCCAGCATGGTGTAAATCATGGTACGATTTATGGTCCTCCGTCGATCGGTGTTCCTTCTAGCCCTGTCATCGCCGTCTTTACTCGGCAATTCGATATCTATCACATTCGTCGGCAACTTGTATTCGGCTTCGAAAAATAAAGCCACCGACATCGACGATTCCGGATCATCCAGAGGAACGGCCAGGGCGAAAAATAACTGGAAGGAGAAACATCGCTCGAACAAACGATTAGGATGCTTAATTAGAAGATTATCTCCGGCGCTTCACAAAATAGGAAATTATGAACAAACTGGACTTGTTATATTCTCCAGTTTTTCAGGTGCAGAAATGATTTTTCAACGCAGCGTTACGTGCTACAATATTATTTGACGAGCGTATTATTTCGCGAACGGAAAAGCCGGTTGGTGCATCGAGAAAAGAGGAAACGCGTAATGACGAAGTCGCGTACCGCGTGATTAATCTTCCGGAAGAACAAAAGTTTTGGCCTGCAAAGTTTTCCTTGTTAAATATGGATACCGAGGCAAAAATCCGCGCGCGACTCCGCGTCGCGGTAATGGTACCGAGAACACTGGCAATAACGACGACTTCTTTCATCTAACGCGAAGGCATAGTTAACGAACCTGAAACTCGGTCGAAGCTACGGTAGTAGAACAGGAAATGTCTACGGGCGTTAAGAGACTTTACCGCAACGCGACATGGAAAATGTACTTAGATCCGTGATATGGTATCGCGACAAGTCCATGTCTGAGACGTAAGTGTGAATGTAAAATGGATGCAGAATAGAATAATCTTCTCGAATTTCAGCGAAACGTGACGCAAAGACAGACTCATTAAGCCGGAAGAAGTAGTTGCGCTCAAAACTTTCATAAATATGCAACAATCGTTAAGTATACAATTTATAAAGATAAGAAATTTCATTGCTTGTTACTGCATTTTAAAGAAAATCTTTTTGCATTTTGCATTACTTGTAAATTATTATTGTTTCTACATTTTTGAAATAAAATTTGTCAATGTAATACGATATATCATTTAATCCAGCATCTCATACGTCTCGCATAAAATTCATGGAATAAAATTAAAGATTACACATTAAAATACTTGATCAATTCCAGTAATTAACGTAAATGGAGAAAAGACAGATATAATTTAAATGGCCTTCACTTCGCCGATATCGTACACGATACCATATTTCGCGAAAAGCTTTTTCTACGAAAGTGCTCTGATAGTCTCTTACATAATTCATTAATCCATTGAATCCCCCACACTTTGCTAATTGAATTGTATTTATCGACTGAAGTATTGAATCCGGAAAATGGTATTAATGATAAATCGCAATGACAAACTGCGTATATTAATTCTTTATATTATTCTTTCCACGTAATCATGTAATTTATCAATGATAGTGAATAATTTGTGTTATCTAAATCTCAATGTATAAGTATATCCGTTATTTTAATTGAGGAAAGATTGTATAAAAATATATAATCGTAATAAGAATTGTAAATATAATTTTACGATCATCTTGCGTAACAAACAATATAATTATTTATTCGATTATATATATAAGTATTACGGTATATGTTAATCAAAAGCTTTCGAACCCCCATCCTGCTGTCTTCCGGAAAAGATAGGCTTCTCACGTGACGCTGCATTACATCTGTCATTCGCGTTTCCATCGCGTTCGTGGCAGCACAAAGAATCGCAAGAATTCTGTAAGAAAGGAGAGCAAACAATTTTTTCGCAAAACCAACTGTGAAAAAGAACTGGACACAAAGAGAGGAAAACGGATAATTGTGAAAGATAACGCGACCTCATTTTCACGTAGTGGATTCTTTGAATTCTTTGTCTTAGAAATTCCGCGATGATTGAGTACACGTCATATATAAGAGAATAGTAAAAAATTTTTTATACAAAGTTTTCCACTAGTCGCGATCTTAATTTAACTGACATATTCTGATTGATGAATCTAGAGTCTACATCTTGTTGGAAAGAATGTCGAGAGAAAGTTCATCATTTTGAATTTTTGCGATTATTCATCAATTTTCGAATAAACATTTCGCTTTTAAAGTGTATAAAGTATCGCTACATAAAAATAATGAAAAAGATATGCGATAAAAATGTGGCAAGTAAAAGAGAGACATTGTCAATTATTGTAAACGGAGGAACCGAGAGTGAAAAAGCAAATACAGAAAGGACTATTGGCGGTGTTTCAATCTTCTTTTCCTTTATTTCGGTGTTTTCTTTTTTTGTGCTCAGTAGATGCGCGCATCGCGACGAGCCACAGATATATTTCGTACGCGAACAGGAAGCGACGAGAGCCGCCTCGTCGATGAAAGAGACAGGTTGAAAACGTCGAGAGCTGTGCGTTGTCGGCTTGATTGTAGCTCCCGGTCTCGACGAGTCCGAAGAGAGAAATTGCATTTCCTAGCCGCGTATATGTCAGGCGAGCCTCGCGTCATTTCGTTTAAACAAACCGTACTAGTCCTGTCCTCCATCAACCATGTCCACGTCGCTCGGGCCCTTTGCGCGAAGACTTCCATTTTGCGAGACCTTAGCCCGGCGTTCTGTGTGTGATGGACGCTTTGATTACGGTCCAGCAAATAATCCCAGCGCGCACCATTTTCGGCGCTAGTAGCGGGATACAGTTCAAAACGAGAAAGCGAATGAAGGGTTGCACTGAATGAAAACCGGACCTGAAGTCTTTAATCCTTTCTGATGTAATTTATTTTTCACGATGTTTCCTCCCCTTTGCTCAGTCTTAATTAATATGTCTGGAGTAATAAAGGAATATAAAAGCACATGGTTTTGCGAATGGAAGGCATATCAATTATTAACTGCGAATGTAGAACGGAAAACAAACTCATGTAAGACTGCAAACAGCGTAGTAATAAACCAACAAACTTTTAATTTAATTAAAATAACGCATAAATTTGTTTTTCAAAAATATTCAACAGCGCATTGTAATGAGATTAAAATTATTTTTCGTGAAAAATATGACGTAACAGTACTTTAACAGTACTACAACAATACTTTAAAGTATAATTTTTATAGATAAATTTTATCAAGCATATATGCATTTCACAGTCATTATATAATTAACTGTATGATTTGTGAAAAATGATCTCTCTACAAACATATAATTTTTAAAGTATCATTATTTTTGTACAAAGTAAAATATGATATTACGAAATTGGCTATAATTTGAAAGTAAAAAGAATAACTTGAAATTTATTTTGAATTTATTAATATGTTTTTTTGTAACTTTTTACTAATATGAGAAATTTCTGTAAATATAATTAATTGTGTATATTTAATTGTTTTGATACAGCAATTTTCAGTTAAATCAAATAAAATGCTAACGTTTAATAAAATTTGTAATATGTTGTACATAGATTATTTTGCACATCAAGTTTGCGTGTCATATTTTGTTATCTTACACAATTTCATTGATGATTGGGATCATTGAGCTGCCAAAATGTTTGTCGAAGGTAATATCCACGTCGTTTTGTTTCTCAACTTCCTATAAATACATTTTATCTTACTTCCTCAAAATTTAAAAAATTCCATTAAAAATATTTTTTAAATTATATAAGAATATATTTTAAAAAATTTTATTATATACATACATACCTTGCATTATTTTGAAAATCGCTTAAGTTGCGTTAATCGTCTGTCACCATAATCGCGATGAAATTATAATATATATGTATTTTTAGGAAAACATAGAGAGAACACAGCACACATGTTAACACTTCGACGTGCGAAAAGCGAAAGATACTTGACGAAACGTAGTTTGTCGCACCCAAGATCACCGTCAAGTCGGTAACAAAAGTCACAAAGTTATCGATGTACGATATATGTTAAAAAATTTTAAAATAATAAAAATAAAGAATAATTGCAGATACGCTCATAAATATGATCTAACTTTCTTTATTACAAATAAGGAAAAATAGAGTTTAATTAAAAATCAGTAAAAGCAGTGAATATACACATAATTAAGATGAAACAGCTATTCTGCTTAGCGAAGAATTTTTATCAAGATTTTCTAATCTTAAGAAATGGTTTTGAAGATTCAATGCGGATAATTACGGTGTACTCAATACCGTTAAGTAGCTATTTAATGCCTCTTCGAGCAGCGATATCAAAGATTTCTCCGTTTTCGCTTTTATACGAGCACACGGTTCCTTCGAGAAAAAGATCTTCCCTGAAAGGGCCTTTTTAAATCGGGCAGCTTTAAATCACGATTGCAATAGCTGCCAAGCTTCAAAGAAATTTTTCAATGAACATGATCAAGCAAAAAAAAAATTGTACCGCGTAAGAGATGTACGAACTTGCAGAAAAGAATTTGAAGTATTTATATGTGAAATGCGTTTTATATATTTATAATTAATTTCCATCTACGTGAATAATATTCCTGAGAGCAAATTATACACCAAAGTATATATGTATAATCAAATTTACGAGATATATTTAATATTTATTTTATCATGATGAAACTTGTATAAAGGAATATTTAGCAGATATTAATATCAATATTTTATTTATTTAGATATTTTCTCTAATTTTAAATCGAATTGCGCTTTGCAATATAAAATCAAAGCGTAATTACAAAATAAGTACATTAATCGCAGTTAATTTTATATTTCATAATCACGTTCGATTAATCCTTTCACCGAAAAAGTATGTCCCTTACGTAAAACATTAAAGTTTTTATTGAAAATCCTTGTTCATCAGGTTGCAACTTTATCGTTCTGCTCTCAGAAAATGGGCCGAATAATAACCAGCGGCGCGAAAATGCTAAGTCACCTGAAAATTAGTGTCGCAGCGTCATTAGTCCCGAATGCCAAAAAAGCGCGGCCCTGACAAAGACAAAACTCGCTAGCTCCATTGTCCGACCTCATTTTTGCAAGGTCGATTCGCAAGAAAGTCGTAGTCTCACCATTCGAAGGTGCAGCGGGGGTGTATAAACTATGTAGCTAGTTAAGGTAGCTGACAAAGCTAATTTGGCGAAGCGCGCATCTGGGACTGAATGTGTTAAAGAGGACCGACGGGGGTGATGAGAAGAAGACGAGTCCTTCGAAAAATATGGACTTTGCACCGGCACTGGAAAAGCGAATTCTAAAGAAGGCATCTCAGGGACGGGAAGCATCGCATGGATCGCTCGACCAAACCGGAAAATAATTTGTCGTGAACGCCGCGCAATCGGGTAACTTCTAGAAAAACTCGTACGGCACGTAGGGGATGCTGAAGCAGAGGGAAAGTAAAGAGAATCGAAGTCGACTGGCTCTGACGTGACTTTTTCAGGAGAGTCGTGAGAAAAGAGAAAGGCGTTCCCGATGGCGATGTAAGTCCGGTCGGGCAATATTGTACAGCTCAGTAGTGGTCCTCAACCAGTTTAAGCTTTTAATTGTCCCTACGCTAAATAAAAAAGTATTTCGTGTAAAATATTGAGAAAAAATTGTAAACTTAAGACGAATCGACAAAGAAATAATAAAATTACTTGCAAAAAATCTCTTTATTTTTTAAATATTACTCTCATGCGAGCTTTCTATGAAAATCGCTGTATTTAATTACAATTTAAGATAAACGTAAAAGTGTTGTCACCGGTTAACTTTAAGAAGCAATTATAAATGGCATGTAATGTCTCACGTATCAAACTAAGTTTTCCACCGAGAATAAAATAGGTAATTTTGAAAGAAGAAAGTTTGCGACCATTTCCAGAGTCACCGAGTTTCGAATTGAAATTAAAGTTCCATGGCTTTTGATCAAAGTTGCGATCCTTTGATTAATAATATTGACCAACATTGTCGCACAACTTCTGCTTAACGCTACCGAGAGAATAGTTTCTGAATTTTTCTTTCCGCGAATAACGAATGTCACATGTTCTCCTTGATTCCAAGAACTAATTACATTCCGATCCAAACTGAGCAAACCAAAAAGAGAACTTTTTTCCGGCATTAATTAACGCAAAGTTATCGGATTCTAAGTGTCAATTTGGGGACATCCAGATTTTCCGGAAACTGCACGTTCCGCCCAATATCTAATGTTTCATAGAGCGGTCGTATCAATGCGAAATGGCAGGTGCTCCGACTAATTTAAAATTAAATGTCTTGCTGAAACGTCAGACATCCATTATACATTTTAGCTTAACGTGTAAAACTTTAGATAGTGTATTCTTAAAGATTCTTAATAAATGCTTTCCTATTTTTATTTAGAAAACAGATATTTACCGTAAGCTCTTCTAACAGCATTGAATCACATAATAACCGCATAAAGTTTTCGTGTGGATCGACCATTTTTATACGAGACTTTTCGAGCGGAAATTGGAAGCAGATTTCGAAATACGCAACCGCGATGGGAAAGGTCGAAATGACATTGCGCGACGAACGAGAAACTCGAGAAGTCATTTCTTCCTTCGACAGATGCAGCGCAATCTGCCGTTGAAGATGATGTTGTAAAATAATCAAAGAAACATCATATGTCTATTAAATATATAAAACAATTAGTTAGAATTGAGATAGAAAAAAAGATAAAAAACGACAAATTAACAGCACAACTAATCATGTGATAAATGATAACGCGTCGAATCTGGAATATCCTATATAAATTATTATTAGCTCGAAATTATTGTGCATATACTGTTTACCGTAAATTTATCTTCAAATATTACTCGCATAATGCGCAATAAATAATATATAATAATTTCTATTGATCTCCTAACCCGTTTTAGTTACCGTTAAGTTAATCGCGTCTGTAATTTCATTATGATTAATTATTCATCTGTCCTAGGCCTCCGATAAGAAGATAAACCATTCTTTTTCTGAAAAGACGAACAAGTAGACTGCAGTAATCTCATCGTTTAACCTGAATAACCCCTTGGTCGTCTATCTTGAACGTTCAAGACACCAACGGCAGGATCTTCAGACACGCCGGACTTCGCGAAAAATCGTTCGCCATGATCGATCATTTGGTTATCGGATCAATTTGAGTTAGCAGAAACCGCGAATAATAATAGTCGATGCCCGGATTCTTAAGAATAGTCATGACAGACAAATCTCGCCGGATTTCGAGAACGGAAAGAATTCGAACGGGATCACTACTGTGACGGACATTTAATAAAGCACCGTCGAAAGAAATCAACTTTTTCTAATTTAATATTGATATTATTAATACAAATTACGTTAAAAATTATTCATACCATATGTGAAACATTCGATAGAATATTCTAGACTCACACAATTGTAGCTTTTCGTGTCGTCATTACAAGTTCAAATGCGTAACATATCATATACGTAATTTGCGTATCCGGCAAATCTTAATATACTTTTAATAAGGCACACTTTTTGTTCAGAAGATATTTTTCATTTCAGATTAATTTTAATACACGCATTGTTCAAATATGCCAAATTGAAACATTGTAGCAAAGATCTACACAACCCAATCATTTTAATTACATAGATTCCCATTTCTACATTAGTTTTAAATAAACCACAAGAATATAATTCAACAAACATAAACATAAATAGTTTCCCACATTTCAAGAGTGTAATATCAAAAAAAAAGGTAGACAAAATAAATAATTATTTGCAGATTTAAAATGTGAATAATCATATTATTACCTGAAATTATGAGACCTAATCCATAAATCAAAATAATATGCAATATCTCTATCCAATAGTGACTTAACTGTAGAATAAATAGAATAATTTATAGGATTAATAAAATTGATCATGATAAAAATATCAATCATGATTCTCTAGAGAACTTATCTCTCACAGGTGTAATACAATACAATCTCAATTTTTTATCCAACTGGTAGTTATCAGTGTCGTAATATTGTTTTAGTCACCTGAAATTAATAATAAAAGTATTTCAGAAAGTATAAAATGCAAGAAATAAAATGTATCAATTAAAGTATCAATCAATAATCAAAAATAATGGTATAGATATAATTTTTCACGATCCACCACAAAAATTATAATTGATATATAACTTTATCATACGATAAAAAGATAAAAAAATGGATTATTTTTTGTTAATATGTAATTTGACGTAAAAAGCAAATAATATAATTTTGAATTAAAACAACTAAAAAATAATTATAAAATAAGATATAAGTTGATGAGATCAACATAAAATGTTTAAATCTGTTGTTTTACAAGATCACAGCAACTGAACATAAAATATTGCGTATTCGACGTAATATATCCTTTTCTTGCTTCCACATATATTTTATCAAAATAAATGAATATAAAATTGTAAAATTATATTTTTTGTATTTTTTATATACTAATATATAATAATTAGTTTTTGCTTCGATAATCATACTTCTAATTTTTTCATTATCTTTTGTATCATTATTTGCCTTTAATTTTGATCTAAGTAAATTAATAACTCAATAATAAAAGCAATAAATCAATAATAAGATAATAGAATGAATATTTTATATTTATAATTTTTTGTTATTGCAGAAATTGTGACAAAAAGTGTATTTTGTAAAAATTATCGATTTTATCATCTATCCTGTTATAAACTGTTTATAACTGTTATAAACCTTTGTAACACTTAATATATATTAAATAATGACGATATATAAAATATCGATATACAAAATTGTGTAAAATACATCCTGTTTAAAACTGTTATAAACCTTTGTAACACTTAATATATATTAAATAATGACGATATATAAAATATCGATATACAAAATTGTGTAAAATACATAATGATTATTACACAAATAATGATTACTAATAACGTGGACATCGAGAATAGTAACGCTACAAACATTCGAAAGATTATTTTACAATGCTTTAATGCATAAATGCCGGTCAGGTATAGAGAAAATGACTATGCAAGTTGGACGATTTTGTTTCGACTCGAAACAAGTCAACAATAGTAAGCTATTGTTCCGTTTTTGAGTCAACCGTCAAAGGTTCCCCTTTTTTGCTCAAGAATATTACTCTTATTATCTAGAGTGGAAACACGTGCGATTTTCGAGGAGATGGAATGCGAGATCTTTTTAATGAATTATTGAACTCGGTTAAGTTAAAATTTAAATATTTATTTCTAGAGTAAAGTAAACCAAAAATACATAGTTCTTTCCTTTTTAATTCGAAGCTGAATACAAATACAAATAAAAATATTTTGGTTATTGATATTAAAGTTACAATTTATGTGTACTTGTGTGTGTGTGTGTGTGTGTGTGTGTGGGGTGGGGGGTGGGTGTGAATGGATATTAAAGAGAGGCAGGAAAACTCTATCATATTAGAAATCTCTTATATTCTAATCTCTTCTATTTCTACGGATGAGCGGTGAAAGATATTTTCAAATTCTGTCACTAGAACCAGAAAATTAAATTCAAAATATTTTTGATAAGGTCAGTGGAGTTCCGAAATTCTAGAGAGTTATTCCTTATGAGTGATCCTTGGTGGTAACTCCGTGTAGCTGGTTCGGTAGTACAGCAGAGAAAGACATAACACTGGTCACACATGATATTTTGTAACACTGTAATAAATACACGTAATACTACAATAGCGGTTTTATCAATGTATTATAGTGTGTCTGCTTTATATAATTGACAGTATGTTTTTATACTTACATTATTAATCGGTAAAAACTGGTGTGTAATAATCATATAGTAATCAAATAAAATATCGTTTGTAAATTTGACTTAACTATAAAAAATTATGATCAACGTATGACCAATGCATGTAATACATAAAAATAAGTGTTCAGCAATAGAAAATTCCAAAAACACTTCCTCAAACCACCTAATACAACATAAATACATAAAAATTTTTTCATATATATGTACAAGCCAATAATACTAAACTATAAAATAGTGCAAAAATTTTCAGATAATTAAATTTTAGTTTTATATTTACAACTAATGTGCATTCACCATTAAAAGTACTTTACTCATCATTAAATTAATTAATAACAGTTATATCAAATTTAAATAAACAATGTTGGATTCGTTTCTACTTTTTCGTATTGTACTTGTAATTGCAGATCTATTTGTTTTTATAATAATATTTATTATTTATTTATCTAATGTAACCTATTATGTTTTTAAGCAAATAGAAATTTAAAATTGTTTTGTCACTTATTCCTTTTTTTTAAGTGTGATCTTTCCTCTTCAAATATAAATAAGCTAAATAAAAATAAATTAAATTCAAAATTATTAATAAATATATCAATAGCTTACCTGAAAACCATATAATTAATTAATGAAAACAGCTCCCCAACTAGTGAAAAAATAATTATAATTTCGTTTGTCAAGTCAACCATCCAATCCGTTATGAAAACAATCTGTTTTATGAAACCTAAAAAGATACTTAATTCAAATTAACTGTTTCCATTATTAATAAATTGACATTGTTAATAACAAAACTAATTAGAACTACATTATTTTGGTTAGCAATGAAATATAATTATTAGATCACGAATTAAAATATATTATTAATATATTAGTTTTGTAACGGAAGTTGATGTTTTTAATAAGGCACTCTTTCTTCATAAGATATTTTAAATTTCAGATTAATTTTAATACATGCATTATTCAAATATGCAAAATATAAACATTACAGCAAGAATCTACACAATCCTATCATTTTAATTACATAAATTCCTATTTTTACATTAGTATTAAATAAACCACAAGAATATAATTCAACAAACAGTAAACATAAATAGTTTTTCACATTTTAAGAGAGAGTGATTTCAAAAGAAGAATCCGCAAAACAAATAGTTATTTGCAGATTTAAAATGTAGACAATCATATTATTACCTATAATTATAAAATAATTAATCCATAAAATTAAATTATATTTAATTATTTTCCTTGTTAAACGCTGCATGGTAAAATGTTGCTTTATCTCCTATAGGTGTAACAAAATAGAATCGTAATTTTTTATCCAACCGTTAGTTATGAGTATAATATTGTTTTATTCCCCTGAAATAAACAATAAGTATTTCAGAAAGTATAACATGCAAAAAATAATGTAATCAAGACAATAGAATAGATTGAATTTTTCACGATCCACCACAAGATTAATAATGAATATGTAATTTTATCATATCACAGAAAAACAAACACGGATTATTTTTTGTTAAAATGTAACATGTCGTAAAAAGCAAATAACGTAATTTTGAATTAAAATATCTAAAAAACAACAATAAAGTGGGATAAGATGTAAGTTGATGAGATCAATATAAAATGTTTATATCACCTATGTGAACTTGGCACCCGACTTTTAATAAATAAAGTTTTCAATACGTAAAATGATAGTACTTCGTTTGTAGTTGTTTGTACCCATGTGGAAATTTCATACATCAGACTAGTATTAGATACTGGCGAGATACAGATCCAGTACCGAAAAACAGGTTTTACATTTCAGTACTGGCATAGCACAAAACCAGTATTAAAATAACAATGATTTAGTACTCACCCATTATCTAAATCAGTATTGAATAATGGTACTGAAACGGTATACTCTCTGCCGGTAAATTTACGGTACTGTATCTGTACAAAAATTAGTAAAAGAAAATCTGCTTTTTCCACGTGGTTCAGAATCGTTTGTAGTTGTTTGTAGTGATTTTGCTTTCGTTTGTATTTGCCATTTCAAAATTATAACTGTTTAAAATATATTAATTGCAAATATATTATAATTTTTAAACTATTCAACTACAAACGAAAGCAAAATCACTACAATCAACTACAAACGATTCTGAATCACGTGGAAAAAGCGGATTTAAAAAATCTTAAAGTCGGGTGAGTCATTTTTTAAACGAAAATATTTTCACTACAAACACGAAGTATTATCATTTTATTTATTGAAAACTTTATTTATTAAAAGTCGGGTGCCAAGTTCACATAGGTGTTTATATCTATTATTTTACAAGATCTGATGCAGCAACTGATGAACATTAAATGTCGCGTAACACACTCGATAATCTCTTTAAAAAATGTAATATGTGGTGCTACAAATATAAATTATGATACAGAAAACAATAAAAATCAAAAAACAGTTATGTTACATCCTTACCGGAGAAAGTGCGCTTAGATGTGGACGGGTCAAAGTACCTGAGTGTAATGCAAAAATGTTTGCCGGTTAGGTATAGAGGAAGTGACCGTTCGAGTTGGACAATTCTATTTCGGCTATTCTAGAACAATCATGGAAAGATCTTTTTTGGTCTAGAGATCTAGTTCTTTTACTAAAGGCGGAACCACATGCAATTTTTTAAGCGATGGAATACGAGGTCCTATGAATGAAATTAATACGCGCGCGTTTTGTGTGATAGAAATATTTAATTCTACATTAGTAAAACAAAAATACATAATTTCACGTTTTTACAATGTTTTGAGCAAGATAAAAATACAAATTAAAAAGATGTTATTGTTATTTAGTTATACTACATGTTTAGTGTTAGCTTTACAGTTTATAAAGCTAGACATAAATACAAATAAAAATATTTTTTATTCTTACTTAGTAATACTAACGTTATACATTATTTTTTATGTGTTTGTATATTCATGTGTGTATGCGTGCGATAAACGGTGAAAAATATTTTCGAATTCTGTTACTAGAATCAGGAAATTAAATTCAAAAAACTTATTGTTTGATATAATTAATGGAGAAATTCTAGAGAGTCATTCCTTATCAGTGATCCGTGGTGGTAATTATGTGTAGCTGGTTCGGTAGTACAGCAGAGAAAGACATATCACTAGTCAGTCATACACGATATTTTATAACACTGTAATAAATACACGTAATACTACAATAGCGGTTTTATCAATATTGTATTATAGTGTGTCTGCTTTATATAATTTACAGTATGTTTTCATACTTACATTATTAATCGGTGAAAACTGGTGTGCAAAAATCATAAATGAATTATCGTCTGTGAATATTAATTAAGTTCAAATAGATTGATCAGTGATTGACAAAATCTAATAAAATTCAATAGGAGCGTAAAGATGCAGGTTCTTCGTGCAAAGGTTACTGTATTTCCATTTAAAATTATTTACAAACATTTCTGCCTGACATCAGGCCTTCTTCAGTGTACAATATTGAACGAAAGAATCGCACGCAGTGATTATATAGCTAAAAAGATGTGGAAGAAGTATTTCAAATCCATTTCACAAAAATATTGTTTGGTACATTAAAAAAGAAATATTAGAACTGTAATAAATGTAATGAAATAAAATGAGAAATAATATTCTAAGTAGTAAATTAACCGGAAAGTAAAATATAATTTATACATACTTGTGAAAATTACATGTTGAAAGTACACTCATCCATGCAGAAGGAACAAGATGGAAGAGTGAATAATTATTGAACTTAATCAGTTAAAAGTTGAGATCTTAATGATCAAAATTCAACAAAGAAAATCAAAGTAATGGTAGGAAAGGAGGGAGAGAGGCAGGGGGGGAGGAGGGAAAAGAAGTATAGTAAGGAAGGCATGGTGAAATGGTGAGGATAAAGGAATTGGTAAAGGAAAAGAAAGGAAATACAATTATAAAGGAGAAAATAAATTAATAATTGAGAGATAAGCATCCAGTAAATGTTCCGTGTCGTTTTGATTGTTGAAGCCTGCGTTTTGTGTCTTAATGAAAACCATTTCAAAGATCAGTCTTTTGCAACAAGAGGGTTCCCCGTCCAAGATCTTTACGTTATCCCAATCAAAATCATGGGAGGAATCCATTCTGTGTTTTGATATAACAAAATATAATTTTAAAAAATAAACAATAAAAATTTAATATTGTTTTGCCATTTTTTTTTGCTTTTTAGATTCAATCTTTATTTAATTACAAATAATTTATATGTGTAAATAAATTAATTTCAAAATTATCAACATATATATTATCTACTTACCTCAAAATTAAATTGTAGCAAAATGTTAAATACTTTTGAAGAGTTAAGTACTTCTTAAGAATTTGAATTTCGAATCTCTCCTGTTCAGTATAATTTTTGGATTTTATAGTACTTTCTCTTGTGTCTAAAAAATGCGAAATTCAAAATTAACTATTTTTATTAGAAATTAACTATTTTCATTAATAGATTATCTTTGTCAAAATATTAAAAATTTGTTATAACCAAATTATTTTTGTTAGCACTAAAATATCATTATTAATCATGTAATAAAAATAGAAATTTATACTGATAAAGAAATCTCGTAAAATATCAAACAAAATAATGTTTAAAAAAATAATTTAATATATAAAAAACAAAATTACAAGTAAATTTTATTTACAAAATAAAATTAAACAAACTGGAATTTTTAATTTTGTCCTTTATAATATAACATATGTATACCTTCTAACATTAGCAAATTATTTTTCGATTTTTAGTTGCCAAAAATAAAAAAAAAATTTAATTTAATAAAAAATTAAACCTAAAATTGAAAGTTGATATTTTAATAAAACATACTTTGATGTGTATTTCAAATATAGGTCAATTTATGCATTGTTTAATATGCTAAGTTGAAATCTAACAGTTTGTCAACCTATCAATTTAATTACACAGTTCCTATCTTTTAAAGTAATATAGGAATAGATCAAGAAAATACGCGATTCCACACACGCACGCACACGCACGCGCAGTATATATATATCCAAATTTTAAAAACGCGCGTAGTACTGAAGAAAAAATCGATTAAACAAACTATTACTTACATGGTTGGTTTTCGAAGGACATTATTATATTATTTATAATATAACTAAAATATATTTAAAAAACCAGATATTATCAGCCAATAACGAATCATCGTTAGACCTTTCCAATAAATCTATTAAAATGGTTTTCTCAGTTTTTTATTCAATTGATATTTGTCGTGTAATGTCATATAATTTCAATGGCCTACAATCAACAATGGAAATATTTTAAAAAATAAGAATGACTTCAGAGATCATAATAAAACAAATTGCATTTTTCTCTCACGATTTATCACAACATTTATTATTGATATGTAACTTTGTTAATTAATAGAAAAAGCAAGAATAATAAGATTTTAATGAAAAAGTTTTGGAAAAAAGTGTAATTTAGTTTGATACCTAATGTCTAAAATAAAGTTACAGTAACTGATATACAAAGAACAAATAATTTTCGGATAAAACGTTGCAAAACGACGATTTGTTGCAAAAACTGAATAATATAGATACAAATAAAAATGAGAATAATAACAATAAAATAGGATAAAATGTAAGTGTGTTATTTAAAGGCTATGTTCGTTTTGGACGCTTACGCGCTGAAAGCAATCATTCTATCCATGGATCTAGGAATATTCGTTCTCCACGTCAACTGATCATACAAAGCTAAAACTTCACACAAAGATCGCTAAGAGATACCACAATAAAGCTTTACGCGCGCGAACTATTACAGGAAAACATCAAAATGTGAAAGAAGCAAGCCTTTAGATGTATAAGAATCCTATGCACATATTTTTCATTCACAATCAACCATCATTATTATTACTTTTCTATCACTTACCATTTTTTCGTAGTCCAAAGTGATTCCCGAGAAATCCCGACTTATTTTCCGTCTTTTCTGAGGCGCAGCAATTTCCTTGGATAATAATCTTATTCACCTGACTCACCTTCGGAAATTATTCGATCTCGCCGCTTGCTGCCTAGTGGAATAAATGCTTACTGTACGCTTTTACCACCCTTCCCTCCCACCGCGATTCGAAATCTCTCTCATGTTTCGTCTACCGAAAGCCGATGAGGCGCGGCAAGTCGGCTCATGGAATGCCTTCATACGTGGCTGGCAAGGTAGATGGCTAGATGGTCGACGTTAACTCGTAGTGCACGGAATCGGGTTAATCGATTTCCGGGTAACATACATATACGCGCATGCAGGCGTACAATAGAGAAAGAGAAGTGCATTTGAACATCAGGACCGATTTCATTGCATGCTGTAGTAAAAAGAACGATTATAAATAATGGTTAAATTTGTGACTCGTTTAAAAAATAACATTATTACACAAAACTTTGACGTGTATTATTCGAGAATAAATTTAATTCCCCTTTTTTCGCGTTCGCTGCTGACATTCGTTCTTATCTCTAAGAGATTGAATTCTTATCATTGCAATTATCAATTACACGACATTATATTTCTCAAACTTGATTCGAATCCGCACACCCTTATCGCGACGATTAGACCTTACGGCCGTATATTAATCTTCGTTAAGTCATAAGTCGCCAACTCCGGCTGCTAGTGCCGCAAGTAAGCTCATAATCATTTCGCTTCTCGTGTCGCTCAAAGCGGGTGCCGAACTTCGGTCAAAGTGGAAGATGAACTCGTTTGACGTGGCCCACGGCGAAGTGAGATACATAGGCGGATAGGTGGAGAAGAACGAGGAAAGCGAGACAGTATTTAATGCGGTCTCGACCATTGCGCTCGTGATTCGCGGCCAGCGACTGCACCGGGGTTGCTCTGGGGCGCGGCTTTACGCGCGATGTAATTCCGATGCAAATCTGTCTGTTGAACTTTTTAGCCATTAAGTCGCGCCGTGCCGGCCTACGACCTTGCGTCGGTGCGCCAATTTTGCATTCCACTTTTGCGCACAGTTTTACTTGTAATTACTCTTATACACATTGCAATTTCTAATTTTGATTGGCTGGATATCTAAAAATAAAAGTTAATTAATTAATAATTTGGTGTTCAGATTTTATACACTCACTTGTTTTTACTGTAATCTCTTCAGCATTGTTAATGCTATTCATAGTCACATAATCGATCCATATATTCTCATCCTCTTCCTATAAAGTGAGATAATCACTAAATCTAATGTTATAAAAGAATTTTTATTAAACGATTGTGCAACTATTGTTTCTGCTGTACATAATTTAAATAAAAAAAAAAAAAAAAAATTTGTTTCATTTTACACGTATCTATGGCTCATTAATAACCTTCATATTGATAATGTCAATTTTTCTAATAACGTAACATATCAACATATATGCTTTTACAGTTTCGCACAGCGTCCCTATCTTGACATATTTTGGATTCAACTACAGCGACGTTGTCGAATCGAAATGGGATGCGTTTCGCGAAGGCGAAGACACGGGCGCAAATGTAACAGATGCAGATGCGCCGTTCAGTCATTCACCCCCAAGAATTTTGCGACCACCCTGAACCCATTCGGTCTGGCGTGCGCATCGACGCTGAAAAGGTCGTCGTTTAAATCACATGGGCGGGGCTGAAGGTCCTGGATACCGACCACGAGCCGCCATCTGCACAACACAGAGCGAACAACCCTTTAAGTTGTCAACGCGAGCATTCGCCCCCGCACCCTGATGAAATTTCGTCCATACACTTACACAGCTCTTGCATATGAATGCCTTGTAGAAAGGCGCTTATCCCAAAATCATTTACTTTATCCGTCTTTTAATTTTTTTTCACAACTTTTCATTCATATTTCAATTTCTCTTTTCTTACGTTTTTTATTTTATAATTACTGTTACTCTATATATCATTTTTTTACGTCTCGCAACTTGAATGTATCCAGTCCTATTTTTTTTTCTATTTATTTTATTTTAAAAGTTTATACTCATAATTTTGAATCTTCGCAATTTCTCCTGAAAAAGAAATATTTTGTCGAAATTCTTTCTATTCTTTGTACTTTGATAGAATTTCTATTTGACACAGATATTTTACATTCTTTCGCGCTCTTGAAATCGTAAAATTTCAATGTGATTCTCGTTTCTATGACGCGTTTCGCAAAAATCACGGGCAGAACATTTACGCGAGATAACATTATGCTCATGTTTCGGCATTGCCGCGTCGTGCGCAAGTTCATCTAAATCGTTTCGGTGAGATAGGATCTCGTTTTTGAATTTCTCGCAATGTCTACCCGTCGCGATCGCTTGTTACGTGCAACGACAATAGTCCATGTGAATGTTCCGGCGCGCCTACAGTCACCGACCATTGCCTCCGCACACATGGGAAAGTCGCATCTTGCATTCCACAGCCTTGCGGAAAATTGCGGCGAAAATCTCCGGCCTTGTTCCACGTACCGGGGCGTCATAAAATTTTCCTCGCGCAATTTCTCCGTAAATCTCGCATCCTTTATTTCAATGAGCACACGATATTACTCGCGCGCGAAGGCGATTCGCACGCGCACCGAGCAAATTATTTCGCGCGGGGAAAAAACAACGAGATTACCAATCGTAACTCACTTTTTGTCGAGCAACATCTGCGGAGCGGATTTTTCCATGGCGGTGGCTAAAGCGAGAAAACGGTATTTTACATCGGCTAATAATTTTGAAGATAATATTGGTTTAAGTTTCGACAAAAATAAAAATTTGACGATAAATATACATCGTCGAAAGATTTTCGTAAAAAAAATTTCAATTCAACTATATATGTTCCTTATAATTTTCTTTTTTTGGAATCTAAAAGAATGCGACATTGCACATGTGAACATTGACGAGGCAATGTCACGAATTGTAAATATAACACTGTGATAAATTAAAGAAAGAAAAACTGTAAAAGAACGATCAAACGCAACTCGGAAGATACAGAACTCGTTTTTCAAAAACCGGGATGTACAGTCGCTCTACATACAGATACAAAATACAAGTAGGTGTGTTTCGTGACCCAAAAATGACTGCTGCTCTACGAGCGAGCGCAACCGAATGCTAGGAGTGCTCGGTTCGCAAGGCGCGGCCGAGACCACTAAATTCACGGTGCGCTAATCAATAATGTATTTAGTGTGTACAACTTCGTGCTGGAATATATCCAGCTGGGACACGGTGAAAGGTGGTACCCGACCATTGTTCTGTGGCATCCAAGCCCCGAGTCGGGCGTACGTAAAGTCTCGCGGAATAATTACAAGTTCGCCATTGAATCAGGAATGCGCCAAACAAGACAGAAACAGCCGCCCTGCAATTCCATTATTAATTCAATTACTGCTGGATGCATACTGATCGCGAGATTAATGCATCCCGCGGACTATAATCTCATTCTGCCATCTGAACGATTGAAGCCGGCTCGATACACTCCTACACACAAAGTGTATCTATTCCAAATGCGCGCTCTCCAATAATTTGGAGTCAAATTTTCCTGAATCAAAATATTCAGATAGATACTCTCTGAAATTTTGAATAGGATAATTTAAGATTGAGAGTTTCAACGGATTCACCTTTGGCAATGAAAATAAATCACAAAATGTTATTCGTTTAAACGATACAAGAAAATCTTTTATAATTTGAAATATATATATATCGAATTTTTTCAGTTTTTGCAATATTTTCTCCAATTTCTAACATTTGCAAATATATCTGATTTGATGCTGAATATCAAAGGAATCTATTCAATCAACATTAACATATTGACTTACTAAATCTAAAGGATTCATAGAGCATTTTTTGTTATATCGATCACAATGTTGCTCGTATTCGGCTTCTATAATCTCTATCGGTAGATTTTCACTCTTCGATATGGAGGGTCTGCAACAAAAGTGCAAGCAAATAGATGTTATAATTTTTATATTACTCGTTCATGACGTTTGATAGTATAAATATTTTTTGAATAAATATTTAGAATAAATTTACATTGGATAAATTGATTTAAATTAAATTTTCTGTATATCATTCTTACACATGGCTTCTATTATACGCTGCAATTATTGACTTATCTCTTTATTTTCAGCAATTTAACAATTTTAATAATATGTATGTATTTTTTTAACACTTACGTAAATATGATTTTAAGGATATCACCAAGCACCCCGTTTTCGTTTAAAGAGAATCTTGCAGTTTCACAAATTGTTCTTAACAAACAATCTAGGCCAGGATAACCCAAGCTATTACAAAAAGAAATTATACTATTTCAAATTCTATTCGCAAAATTAAATTTTGAAGCAATAATCAGTTGTGTTATTAAAAATTATGCAGTGAGCAAAATGTTAGCAATATCGGCAATTTGAACAAATTTGCTGTCAATCTGCTAACAATGGCTATCTGAATAAGTTTTATAATAAAAGTTTTGATAATTGAAGTATGAAATATATTAAAAGGTACTTAATATACGAAATTTGTTTACCTTTCCATTTTACTGGTGAACAATTTGTATACTAATTGGCGACTAAGACTTCGTTTTACGAAATAAGTTTCCTCGTGATAGTAAGTCGAATTCCACTCGTACGGCAATCCGTAATTCGCTTCGAAGTAAAACGACATCGATATAGACTTGTCAGGAATATCTACAGGAATTCCGAGAGCGAAAAATATCTACAAATAAAAACGTGTATCCTTGATAAATGTAAACGCAATGTTTTTCATATAAAATTGAAAATTATTTCAAAAAATTAAAAAATGATAATTCGATCATTATTTATAAACATATTTTTCAGAATATTAAAACATGTCGATATTATTTTATAAAATGTGAGAGGCGTTTACAAATTCTGGAGATTTCGACGAAGACAAATTGCGATTGAATTTTTTATTGTAATATTTTTGTGACAAATAAAAAATGTCTTTTTTATTATGGTTGAGATGAATAGAATTTCCGTCATATTGAAGTATCACATTTTTACACTCGATTTGTTTGACAAATCACGCTTCACGTGTGTACCTGGTGTACAAATAATCAATATTGAGCTAACAGGTTGCTCACATAGTCCGAGACGCATTAGTAGATGAAAAATGAATGATTGATCCACCATACCCCCATATTGCTACCTTCGGGAAATCCGATAGATCGCATATGCCTCGATATACCGTGTGTAATATTTTTCACTCCCGATACACGTGTTGATTTCATGAAGCACATCAAGAGAATGAACGTCGTAATTTTGTTCCTGAAATATTTCGAGAGACATAAAATTTTTTTAAATATATTATTTATCAATATATGCAATCATCGATTTAAGATACTTTTTATGAGCTATTATTAATAAAAATTAAAAAAAAAAGATTAGAGAGAAAAAGCCGCATGTAAGCGACACTTAATTTTATTTTGTAAAACAAATAGCACACGTTTCGTAAAATAAATAGCTGAATGTTTAGATACAGGTGATATTTTTAGAATTTTGTTGAATGCGCTTGCGATACATCTCGGATATTGTCCATTTCAAACTCGCATGCGATGCTCGCGACACGATCGATATCTCGATGAAAAAAAAAGTATATGTCGCATCTGTTTGTAAATTTCGCATTTCTTTATTTCGTGAGTTATTTTGATTTTGTGATTGCTTCATTGGTTTTTGCGTAAATGCAAATACTGAACGATTCGCACATCCCGCGCGCGATTGCGATAGTTCTTCTTTCCGAATAAAACAAAAAATGTTATTTTTCGCAACAAGTCGACATACCGTAGATATTTCGTTTTGTGCTCTCTTTTTATTCAATGTTTTCAATTTTGCGCTCGAGTTACACTGCATTTTTGATCATTTTTATAGCGTTATTTACATTATTATTAATGTTTCGATATTGAATACTCACTTTTCCATTTCTTACAGCTGAACGCGTGAGCCTCACAAGAGGTTTTTACCGAGTGGCGAATTAACAGTTTGTGCAGACGCACGCGAAGTAAAAGTTACGTTAATTTGCGCAAGACTAATAAGTGTAGTTATCAAGGTGCAATAACGGTTTCTGTTTCGTCTGCTACGTGTGTGTGCATTCTGACTCTGATATATAATTGTATACCATTTTTACGAATTGCCCTTAATTCGTATAATTCAAATTTGCTATTTTTTTCAACTTTTTTCTAATATATACCTATTGTTTTAATATCTACCACTGTTTATAGGCTTTCAAATGTTTCAACTTTATCTTTATTTTAATGCCTTATTATATTTATTTGTTTTATTTAGCGATAATGGATTGTACAAATCAATATTTTATTTGTGCATACAATTATTTAAATTTTGAAAAGCAAACCAGATTGTTGCCATATTTATGCATTTTGCAAATATTTTGTTTATAAAATCTAGTCGTCAAGCTATTATTTTTTTTAGATTACGTAAACAATGCCATTTTATTAAACTCAATATAAAAACGAATTTATATATAGTGTTTCAAATACTCTCGCGTCTTTTTAGCTACAAATTAAAATGATGTTGAAACAAAATCGACTTGTAGTTAATACATTATTCGCAAATAATAAATTATGTTTCTTTTTCTTATTTATTTAGACATTTATTTATTATATACACACATTTAAATTTCTTAAAGCTATGATTTATTTTAACTCTAAAAATATCTAAATGTAACTTATTAAGCTTATTATGTAAAGAAAGATAATAAATCTATTCTACGCTAAATGATAGAATTAATTTTTTCTTATTGAATTAAAGTCAAACGAAATATTTTCAGGACTTAAGTATAAATATAATATACAAGCAAGTGATTATATTATTCATTAATAACATCGGACATAATTATTATAATATAATTATATCGTAAGATATAAGACAAACTCCGAATTTTTCAAATAAAGTCTATCTTTAGATAAAAAAATCTATTTTTTCAAGATTATTTTTATTATGAATGTAATTTGAAATCAAATTGCAGATGGAAAGAAAAGATGCAATCAATGCATTTTAGCGTCAAGAAAATAAGAAGAAATTACATAATTATTTTTAGAAATTATTATCGGAAATATCTGCGACTTTTATACAAACACTTAAAAAATATGCGTATTTCAATCATTCACTATTAAATTAATCTAACAAAAAGACTTATACCAGAAATGGAATTTAATTTCGAGCGATTTTCAAGATAAAAAAATCATTTAGTCTCTCTTTTTACCACAAGCATTTCAGTAATGAGCCGCCCCTTTGAATGCTAAGAATTTTATTAAAATTCTTCTTCCTTTTAGACAACTTTAATTTATTTTATTAATAATAAAAATTTTATAATTTTCCGAAATATTGTATAAAATAAATTTTTAAATATATAAAATATTTTAAATATAATATAAGTACTAAACATATAATATGAATATTATATGTATATATATATATATATATATATATAATATACATGATATATGTATAATATGTAAATATTATTATGTATAGAACAGTTTAATTTTTGTTTAATTTTTATTTTTATTTTCTCTGTAAAATTTGCTTTTTTTTATAATTTATATCAATTTAATATTGTATATATTTTTACATTATTATTATTATATAATTATTTCATTAAATCATAAAGAATTGGCACGATATTTCTACAACAGTTTAAATCTTAAAAACAAGCAAGTAAAAAATTGCATCTTAAATAAAATAAAATGTTGCAAAAATTGTGAAATTGTTATTTATTTGTAAGAAAAAATAATTTTAGTTATTAATAAAAATAAATTAAAAAAAAAAAGAATTTTAAAGAAGACTCTTGAATAACATTAAGAGAGATATGACGACTTACATTTAAATTACATCATGTATAATCGCTTCTGAAGCAGAAATGTGACGCGGTTTTGTTATATACATACATCTTATGACTTGTTGCCAGCAAGACATGATGGGTAGAGGAAAAAAAGAAAGAGGAAAGATAGTTCTATCTTGAAAATTGGCTGAAAATTGAAACAAAAGAAGAAAGAGGGGAGATAGTTCTATCTTGAAAATTGGCTGAAAATTGAAACTAAATTCCAATTCTGATTTATATACATTATAAATACTATTACGTTAACAATCAGTCTCAATCTAAAATCTTAAAGTCATTTGTTATGATAATTTTCCATCAATGAGAAAACTGCATATTTAACCAATTGAAGATTTGAGATTAAAAAAATTCTGCTATCATATTTGTAACTATCATATTCATAAAATAGATAAATCAATAGAATTCTAAAAAGTTGTAGCTACAATTATAATATACGAGATTTAATATTTTTCATACCGTGCTGATTTAACATGACTTTTGATTCACATTGTTGTGAAATTTGTCATATATATTTATAAGGCATATTATATAAAGTTACAATTTAAAAAATTATCAAGCATATAAAATGCGTTACTAACTTGAACGAAAAATTTAGCGTAGGCCACATGACACGTATAGAACGTATAAAAATATGAAAAATATCTGTCCCCTACTTATTCGTTTCAAAAATTATTAAAATATAATTTGCTAAGCTTTTCCAAAGTTGTTGTTTTAAATATTCGCAATTCCTCTTCTTATATACGTTTTTCAAATTAGTTTTAACTCTTGTCATTTTCAATAACAAATTTAAATCTTTATATCCTTCAAAGTTTGTGTCTTAAGTCGTAAAAATTGTAAATTATTCTTTGTAATACAGTTTTATAAGTAACAGTTTCATTCTGTACACATTTTGGTGTATATATCACCAAAAACATAATCGGACTTATGCGGCCCTAAGCAAGTCCAAATTTCACTTGCAGAGGTTCCCATTCTCCTGTTTTATCTTACTCCTTCTGCTTGTTAATTGCAGGAACAGGCACAGCAATTATTTCTTCAGCACTCCTGGATTTCAAATATTGTAACATGTTTTCGTAGACCGCAAATGTGACAACTGTCGCTGGGGTCACTCTGGTGAGGTTTACGCCTAAACCCTTGTAAAAGCCACGCCAACTTTCATACCTGGAACGAACCACCAGCAATACGCCTTTGTTTTACTTGCTGTACAACATACATGCTGCACGCATGTATAATCGCAATTGTGCTACGAGAGGTAATTTATTCTAAAGTACTGGTAATTTAATCCGCGTTCGTCACGTTACAAAGGATTTCTGAAAATCTCAACATATAATTATTCTAAAACGTGTCAGTTATAAGATTTCTATTAAACAAGCCAATTAATGATGCGCAAATTCAATGACAAAGAAATCTATTTTATTTTTGTTTCGCTACTTAAAATAAGATTTAAAAATAATATATATATCCTCGACCGTCCATAATTATCATGCAATAAATCGAAAAATCGTTCTGCTGGTGGCTTAACAACCTATCAAGCGAATTATAATGTAATAATGAAATCACAATACCTTTCTACATGCTTTCAATAGAGAATGACTTATAACAATAAAAGATGATAAGAGCGATAAAAGTTTCAAAGCGAAATATATTTAAGGAAATATAATTTGTAAAATCACAATTAAATAACGACAACATGTTCCGCTGTTTAGTGCCAATAAACAGAGAATTGTCAGCAAAATCAGTATGAAGAAACCAAATCTAGGAATAATCAGATAACAGAAAGTCATCTGATGCGGTCATAAAAATAGCTAATTTAACAACAAACACTTTTCGATATGTGTGTTTATTAATATCGTCACAATGTTGCTTTAAGTATGCTCCTTCGCGTGTTTCGTTATGTTCTTTTTTTATACCGATGAAACAAATTCTAACTAGATTTATAATTAAAGAAGTTGATATAAATAAATTTGTCCTACTATTTACAGATTTGCGCTAAAACTTATTGCTATCTATCATATTTTCCGAGTGCCAGACTCTACGACGGTCCTTGCAAAATTAATATTACGAACCCTATATACTCCACTTAATTAGAATGAGGTAAAGAATCGTTACAGAGAAATAGAGTCGCTTACTGGCAAAAAAAAGAAAAAAAGACAAAACACTGATTTAGCAAACGTTTACTATATTTGCTAAAACTTAAAAAGAAGATTACCTAAATTCCATCTAAATTCAGCAACGTAGTTTGATTTGCATTAGGACTCGTCGAGTCGTGAGAAGACAGAAATTATTAGTTTATACATGTGATTCGCACATTATGCATAAAAATAATCCGAACATTATACAGACATACATGTTATTTGTATAGTTACGTGAATACTTGATTATTGATTTAACTATTCGAGATTAACACCGTCTTCCGACATGCATCGGATGTATTTCTTCTTGCAGCTCTTACATTTGCATAGATCATTCATTAGTTTATGCTCCCTTTTATACTATTCGCCTCTTTCCACAACATGCGTATTAACTCTAGCATGTCTATGCGCGTTCAACTAAATCCAGTTTAGTTGACGTTCAGATATTTAAACTCGATGGACATAAAATAGCCATGTTTATATGTTCATTTTATCACACAACGTACTTTATACAATCACAAAACATTTCAGTTAAAATACGTTTTCGTGTATTATAAGAAAGTTTTCCTTGCGTAAAGTACGTTAGCCACGAATTCAGCCATAAAACGATAAATTAAAGGAGGGATAAGTTTGTCTGTTCTATACTATCGCAGTCTCTCAGTATATACTTGCATAAGAAAAGGTAAGCGATTGAATAAATAAAACGCGTACGTTTTGCGCGATACGCCACGAACTATTGCCACTTCAAGATCCGTACCTTCATTCGTAACGATTGGGTTGCGTTCTGTGCAAGAAGTCAAAACGGCAATAGTAAAAGCAATTAACTATTTTCTCATGTCTAGCACAACTCCTTTCATCACCATACTATTCAACAAATCTAACATAAATTAACTGAAATACAAATAATAAAAAATATCATGTACTCCCACTTCGAGTACCAAAAAGAAAGCTAATACGTTGTTTATGTGTCATCTCTACGACAAAATAGAATAAAAATTATTACTTATAAACGTTTCTACTATCCTTTAAAATCCCCAAGAATATTCAGAATAAAAATGATTTTGTGAAAAAGACTTGCTGGAGAAAAATAATAATTGTTCTGGGATCTATTTGATAACCTAATAATAATTGTTGCTGATATTAATCTCTTTTTGAAAATAATTGAGTACTGTGGTTTTATCATTAAAAAATCATACGTAAAGTAAGCTTAGAAAGCTTAAAAGCACCTCGCATCATAAGTTTTTGGTAAATTGGGGGATATTACGCTCTATATAAAATAAGGAAAATTTGGTTCTATGTTAAAAAAAAATTGTCTAAAAAATTTTCTTACATCTGCAATAATAAGGTATCGACACAAATTAACTGCCATTAGTAAAATGCTCGTAAATAAGGATAATCAGACATATGTTTGGCGTAACATGTAAAAGGTATGGTGATAAGCCCTTATAGAAACCCCTAATTCCTTCTGACCTCCATGTGCATTGAATACAATGCCAGGTACCCCGGTAGTCGTGATGGTGATCCTGAAGTCTTGCCCTCACCACTTGATAGGGATATGTCGACGCTGCAGCAATCAGCTTTGATATTGCCGCGAAGACAATATACTCCGTTGTACTCTATTGCAACGCAAAAACATTTATGTTCGTTATTATTGAATGATTATTATTTGCGCTTACCTAATGTTATGCCATCTTTATAAATTGATATTATATACATTTGCAAATTTTTGTGTAAAAAATGCAAAAGAATAAAAACAATAATGAAATATCATTTGTACGTACAATACATATTCCGCCATAAAAATCTTGAGAAAAAAAATTTAAACAACTTACCAGCTTTGAGTCGATAGGTACGTTTAGATAATTATAATATTTATTCTTCATTTCTTCGTACGCCATGAATTGTATTGCACCGTGTGAAACACCGAACAAACCAGGAACTAAACCCTGCAAGAATACAATGCAGTGTAATAATGTTCGTCTCAGCCATAAATCGAATAGCTCTTTATCTTGAATATAGTCGTAATTCGACGTAAAATTCAATTAGAAAATATTTGCTTACTTTATATAAGCCTCTAATGCCCTCCGTCTTGTAAATCTTCTTTAAAGCATCTACCATTCCACGATACTTCTTGGATTCCGCTAGATTCACGTCTTCAGCATACTGTAAACACAGCCGCGTTTTCACCACCCAGATCGGGTTAGTCATGAGCAAGGTAAGCACTCCGGCATCAGCGGCGGCAAACATGTGCATGGACGGTCCGAGTGGTTTTTTCGAGTTGCCTCCTTGGATCGTAGTTTTTATCGTGTTATAGCTGCAAATCAATGCGTCCAAAAATATACACACAAAAGAAGTAAACGACATTAATCAGTGACCGTAAATCAAATTTCTTATCGCAACTGCAAATTGATTTTCCATTAGCTTACGGCAAACAAGCGCGTAAAAACAATTATTAAATTTAAAAAAAAATTTTTTTTAGCACATTAACGATATCAATTGACGATTAATATCGCCGTCGTATACTTACAAAAAGAAATAGAAACCCCACGAACTGCCTGATCCTAGAATATTCGGCGTCACACCTCTGTAAAGTCCACGTACTCCTTCGGTTTTAACGATCTGTGCGAGAGCACTCCTGAGGCCATTGTACCGTGGTGCTGAATTCGTATGACCATCATTCACTGTAATAAAAAGATAAAAGTAACTCGATTAATTTAAATGTACTTCTATTCTCCCATAAGCAACGTGATACTGTCATTCAACGTCTTACTGATACGAAAGTCTGTGTCGCAACTGTTTTTTTTTTTTTGTCGCGCAAGATTAAGCGCTACAGCGCTTTTTCTATGTTCCTCTTTTGCCCCTGCTTACTAAACCGCCGCCGATAAAATGTAACGTCTCGTGATAAGCAACGCTTAATGTTATGCTTGAATATCTTCAATGTATATACAATCGACGTATCACATACTCTCATGTTATGTATTGTCGCCACATTATCGTCCTTAAACGTTGCAGCATAGTTTCATATCTTGCTGCGCGAAGACAACGATATTGTATTGCGACCCGTCTTGTTTACTTACCGAGAAATTCTCTTCTTAAATGTACAAAAGATATTCACGAGAACGAAATGGATATCTAAACTTCAATTCGCGTATTTTATAAGAAAAACTATATAATGTAAAAAATAAAATTTAACACAAAATAATATATTTAATATAGAATATTTTAGAAAATACAACAAAATATAAATTTTATAAACATTGTAATTATTATTGCAAATATTTAATCTATTTGACAATGGTAATGCTGCTTGAAAATATTAAGAT